AAAGTGACTTCAAAGTAATGATCACTGAACCAAGAAACTCACTGAGAGAGATAAAATCCTTTCTGAATGTGGACATTCATTCTCCAATCCCTTGCTTTCAATTTTGACTGCTTCAGAACACGAACTTGAGAGCCTTGCTCACTATGATAACGTCAACAAAATAAAAGATAAATATCATATGATAATGTAGAGAAACTTTACAGAGACACATCTGACAAGATTCAACATCGATTCCTAATAAAAGCCCCCAATATAAACTGAAAAAAAGAATATACCTGAAGATAGAAATGGCTATATGGTACAAAACTACAGCCAACATCATGCTCAATGGCAGAAAACAAAATAAAAAACTCTAAATGCCTTCCCGCCAGTTGTAAGAACAAGGCAAAGATGTTCACTTTCTTTATTATCATTCAATATAATTCAGAGGAGTGACAAGAGAGAGAGCACTATGGGTAGCCTGGGTTCAATTCCTGGCATCCCATATGGTCCTCAGAAAAATGTCAGAAGTGATTCCTGAGTGCAGAGGCAGGAGTAACCACTGAGTATCTGAGTATCGCCAGGTGTGTTCCTACCCCGCCCCCCCCCCCCCCCCCCCGCCAAATCTTATAGTTTGCAAACTGTCACTAAAGCTATCAAGCATAAAAAAGACATCAAAGGCACCGAAATTGAAATAGACATTAAACTATCCGTATAGGCAGATGATATGATAATATGAATAGAATAGATAGCACACACAGAAAAACCCTCAGGCTACAAAATCAATATGCAAATATCTGTTGCATATGTAGACAGTAAACATTATTTGAAATACTGTCAAATAAACTTTTACAAATAGTGGAGAACAGAAACATAATTGTCATTACAAGTGAAAAATCAGAAATGCATTAATAGTGATTTTCTACTGAAATTTTAGGTTGTTATAATCATTTGTTATACTTTTTCATATTTTTACTTATTTAAATATATTCATTATAGATTCATTATAGATCTTTTCTTTATAGATAGAAGACATTTTAACTATGAAAATACTAGAAAGTTTGGTTAAATGAAACACTGGATATAGCTAGTTTTAAACAAAAATAATCTGGTCATCCAAGGACTCCTACTGAAAAAAAATTGGAACTTGAATATCCAATGACAGAAAAACTTTCCTAAATAGTTTACAAAATAAAGTAAACATGCAGTAAGAATAGACAAGAGCACAGGGCCAAAACAGTACAAAACAAAAAAAAAAGATGAAAATAATAGGAGAATGAAATAGGGGCCTGAGAGAGATAGTATAGTGGTTAGGGAACTTGTCTTGCACACAGATCACCCAGGTTCAATCTCTGACACCCCATATGGTCTCATAGGCACCACTAGGACTGATCCCAAAGCTCAGAGCCAGGTGTAAACCCTGAGCATAGCCAGGGGGCAACCATATAAATAACTACAGTAGGGATAAGGCACTTACATGCAGCCAACATGGGTTCTCTCCCCAGCACAATGTGGTTCCTTAGTAATGCTGGGAGTATAACCCAAGCACTACCAATTATGCACCAAATCCCTACCACTAAAAAATTTCAATACAATTTTTAATACTTGCTTGCTAATTATCTCTAAAAACATTTCCTTTTTTTCTTTCTTTGAAAAACCACTTAACTATGTGGTAGACCAAAGACAAACCCTTGACTTTGGATTCCAAAAGTGATTACAAAGCAGTTAGGATAGGAGTAGTAGAAAAGGAAGATCAAACTACAAGTGACATAGGAGGACTAGTGAAGGATCACTTGGTCCATGGTAGGTGCAGTAATTTTGTACATCTATTTCATAAACTTTAACACTACTGTAATCATCTTACTTAAACCACATTTACAATGTGTCCTTAACATACAGATAAGTTATCTCAATGTTTCATTTTACTATTGCCAATAGTAATTACTGAAATTTTGAAACAAATCTCTTAAAATCAAGCATAATCACTCTCTCTCTCTTCTTTTATTATTCATTTAATAGTTAATAAAAGATAGCACAGCATAATATTAGCACTGTACTCAACGATGAGGAATCAATTTATTTGCTCGAAGGCCCTCCCGTTGATCGTCGATTTGCTCGAGCGGGCCCAGTAACGTCTCCATTGGAGACTTTGTTGTTACTGTGTCTGGCATATCGAATACTCTCGGTAGCTTGCCGGGCTCTCCGAGAGGGGCGGAGGAATCGAACTCGGGTCGGCCATGTTGGCCGCTTGTAAGGCGAACGCCCTACCCGCTGTGCTATCGCTCCAGCCCAAGGAATCAATAGTGAAGAAAATATATTCATAACCTATGTCTCTTCCCATGAATCTTCCTAGAAAAGTAAACATAAATCATTTATTCATAAATGCAAATAACAAATACAGCAAAAAATAAAAACAGAAGAAAATTATGTATCATATATACACATAATAAAGAAATTAGATCAAATAAACGCAGAGGTTTCATGGAATGGATTCTGAAACTATAATGTAAGGTGAATTAGGAAGGTATTAAAAAAGGAGGCAAAACATTATAGGAAAAGGCATAAAACTAAAAATGGCATTAAAACAGCCATTGTTATGGTAAAAAAAGACACGTGATGAGCAGAAGAAATTGAAATTAGGCCTTTGTATTTGAAACAAATTAAAATGGTTAACTGCTGTGATTTGTGTAGCAGCTGAAAGTGTGAAAGGGGAATCAGCTGAGGCAGATGTGTGCACATACAAGTTAGCACCCTTCAGGATATTCTAAAATTGTTTGTTCTCTCTTTACTCTTGATAAAATTAATCAATTATGGAAGTATATTAATCATTGTCATTTAGAAAAGGTAAAATAATAAATACCACTGCACAGAAATTGCATATAAAGCAGTTACTTCTTTGGGAGTCATTTATATAAATTTAAATGTATGTTTGTGTAGAAACTGATAATATTCTATGCTAGGATGCTGGTGGAGCAGAGAAGCAGAAACATTAAAAAAGGATATTTGGTGCTAGCAAATAGCTCCAATGAAAGCATGTGTCTGGATGAACACTGCAGAATGTAAGTAGTCCCTAAGAACTGGCCTAAACCCATTGGTATAAATACCAAAACCCACTGGTATAAATACTGCCACCCTATGCCTAACTCTTCCAGGAGAGGACCCAGGACTCAGGAATGGCCAGGTGTGTGGCCTGATGTAGCACTGTCCTCCCGTTCTTCAATTTGCTCGAGTGGGCACCAGTAGCATCTCACAACAAATTGTGAGACTTGTTGTTACTGTTTTTGGCATATCGAATACGTCACGGGTAACTTGCCAGGCTTTGCTATGCGGGCAAGATACTCTCAGTAGCTTGCCAGGCTCTCTAAGAGGGGTGGAGGAATTAAACCCAGGTCAGCAGTGTGCAAGGCAAATGCCCTATCCACTGTGCTATCGCTCCAGTCCATGCAGCTTGATAAACACGAATAAATAAGCGAGACAACTCAAAGGGGATGGATTCCAGGTTTTGTATTAACAAGGCACATCACAGAACATAGGCCTGTGGCCTCTGAAAGAGCTGGACAAGGGAATATTACACTGCTGTTTGAGCATAGAACCGTTGTTCAGGTGCAGGATGGAAATGGCCACTGGGTCCTCAAGTACCACCTTAAGGTATCAATATAAATAAATAGTAATTAAGTAGATGGATCATATTGTATTAATTTGTTGACTTTGAAGACTGAAATAGAAATCAATCAAGAAAACTCAGGTTTCAGAGTTAAGAAAAAGTAGTCATTAAAGGAAAGACTTGAGGGGGGAGTTAAAAGAATTGAGGAGTTATTGAGAATGTGAACTTGATAAGACAGTTGAACTTAAATCATCTTGAGTAGAAAAAAATATAGGACATATCGAAGAGGGTGATATAGAAATAATATCACTATAGTAGATAAGGATCAGGAGGATTGCTCCATGGCTTGGAAGCCGGCCTCACATGCTGGGGAAATAGCCAGGTCCAGTAGAGTAGGGACCACCAAGTAAAGGATGCTTGGAGAGCCCGCTCAGGATGGGCGATGTGTGCTGAAAGAAGACTATAGATCGAACATAATGACCATGTAATACCTGTATTGCAAACTATAACACCCAAAAGGATAAGAACGTAAAAGGGAATGTCCTGCCACAGAGGTGGGGGTGGGGGTGGGGACAGGAGGAATGGATAGTGGTGGTGGGAGAGATACTGGGAATATTGGTGGTGGAGAATGGGGATGGGTGGAGGGATGGGTACTCTGGGTACTCGATCATTGTATGACTGAAATGTAAGCATGAAAGTTTGTAAGCCTGTAACTATACCTCACAGTGATTCATTAAAATAAATAAATAAAGTTAGTTCAATAAAATAGGAATGGAAGGATGATACCTCAGGATAGTATAAACACATATTTTCTATTTCCTCTTAATGCCACACTCTGAATGTTGATGACCTGCCCCAATTCATGTTAAAATCCTAATTTTGGGTTGAAGTGGCAGGAGGGAAACTTGGGACATTGGTGGTGCGAAATGTGCACTGGTGGAGGGACAAGTGTTGGAACATTGTGTGATTAAAACCCGATCATGACCAGATTTGTAATGCTGTAGCTCATGGTGAGTCAATTAAATAATAATAGTTAATAATAATAATAAAATGAAATAGTATCACTATTCACTAGGTTTTCTAAGGGAATTGTGATTAAGGAACATCACTTAAAATATAAAAGAGAAACTAATGATAACACAAACACTCGTATATCACCTCAACAACAAAAAATGGAGAGTTTATGTTCAGCAAATCAAATATGCTGCAAAAGAATAAACCTTTATGGAGCCAAGGAATTAGCTCATTGGGCCAGAATATGAGTATTGAATGCAGGAGCTCCGGGGTTCCCAATATCTCCAGGAACAATCCTTAAGCACTGAGCTATAAATAGTCCCCAAGTACCTCTAGGTATTGTCCCAAAAGGAAAGCAATAAACAATGAATACAAGAATAAAATTGCGTAATTGCAGAATTACCTATCATTGGTATAACGTGCTATGAGTTCACTATCTTTGATAAGTTTCTTATTTTCTTCTTTCAAATTAACATATTCTTTGCTTAAATCTGTGAAATCCTTTTCAAGTTCAGAAACTTCTATTTCCCAAGTTCTTTTCTGTAAGAAAAAAGAATCATACTCCTTGTGTAAGAATCTCCAAAAGAAAATAATGTCTGATAATTAAATTAAGTTATGAGTTAATATTTGAGAATAAAGAGTAGAATTTTGAAGGAAAAGGAAAGGTCAACTTACTGCAGCATGATAGTCATTAAATGCTATTATGAACTCAGCATCCACAACCTTTCTTCTCAGTACTAGTTGTTCATACTCCTTTTTTAACTCTTGTAACTGAGAAAAATAGGCAAAAAATAAATAATTTTGGAACTTGATATCTTTTTGTAATGTAAAAATTAGATATTTCATATTAAATAGTTATAAGTTAGCAAATATTGGTTAAAATAGCATTAAAGAAAAATATGGGACTTTATTTGTGAAAATTGATATAAGATTCTAATAAAACACAGAAAATCAAGTATAACAATGCTCAAATGATTAAAATAGAAATGGGAATATATATTAGTGTTGTAAGAAATAATAAAGATAAATTTATATTATAATCCACTTCAATAAATTAAAGGGAAAAATAGCATTAGTATTTGCTACAAAAAAGTTACATAATAAGCTTCAATAAATTTTTAACTATTACAAGAAAAATATAGCCAAATATAAATAACTGATGAAAAATAACTAAATAGTTCATAAAACAATGAATGAAGGCTAATTAAACTCAGAATAAAACTAGATTTTCTTTTAGCATCATAATTCATAAAATACTTTTATTTTGTTTTTTTTTTGTTTTTTTTGTTTTTTTTTTGCTTTTTGGGTCACACCCAGCAATGCACAGGGGTTACTCCTGGCTCTGCACTCAGGAGTTACTCTTGGCGGTGCTCAGGGGACCATATGGGATGCTGGGAATTGAACCTGGGTCGGCCATGTGCAAGGCAAACGCCCTATCCGCTGTGCTATTGTTCCAGCCCCCATAAAATACTTTTAAATTTTATTTTATTCTGTTTTATCATGATACCAGAGATCAAACTCAGATCTTATACATCAAGGCACAAATTTTCCTATTGTGTCTTGGCTCCATACCCTATATGCTGTTTTACAAGTCTTTAACTAAAAGCAATTGGTAAGGAAGCCAAATGTTACTATTTTAATATTGAATATTAATAGATAATTGTATATACCTTAACGATACAGTGCAATATACTTAAAGATAGAAGGTAATATTTATTTCTATAATAAATTATTTTGATAAAAGGTCTAGGTATATCTTAAGGATATTGATTGTATTATCTATCAAAGAAATAATCAGTAAAAATGAGACTAAAATATTATAAAATTTTAAATATAAAAATAAATTTAACACAAAAGAGAGCATCTCTATGAAACAAAAACAATGTTACTTTGGGGACTGGTGCAATAGCACAGTGGGCAGGGCATTTGCCTTGTAAGTGTCCAACCCGGTTTCGATTCCCAGCATCCCTATGGTCCCCCGAGCACCGCCAAGAGTGATTCCTGACTGCAAAGCCAGGAGTAACTCCTGAGCATCACCAGGTGTGACTCAAAAAGCAAAAAAATAAAAGTTACTTAAAGACAGATCAAGACTTGAGATCAGAGTGATATTTTTCAAGGGATAAGCTTCTTGCCCTTGCACATGGCTGAAACAGTTTTGAACCCTGGCACACTATGAACAAAAAAATAAGGAAAAAGCCCTGAGCACTGTTGGTTATGGCCTCAAATTCTCTCATATCAATACCACTTACCCCTAAGGGGGGAAAATGACTCAGGAAACATTTAAATCAGATAAATATTTAATAAAATATACTGTTAGTTATAATAAATTAACATAATACAAAGGAGTATTCTCTTTTAGACTGTGTTAAATAGTCTACATAGTAAAAAAAGTATGAAAATCAATTGCGATGTATACAAAAAATAAGTTAATGTTAGAAACTTTCTATCAAGACATACAATATCTCACAATTCCATTGTATTAAAGAAGTACCATTTTGGTCACTGAATAAATTTCAGAGACACTTAAATTTTGAAAATTTGGGAATTTTGGACCATATCTGGCAGTGCTCAGGGTGTCACCAGGAATGACCTATCTGCAACACCAGGAATGACCCTTGACACAAAGGCCCATGAGTAGTCAAATCAAGTTTAGCTAAGTGCAAATGCACTCCTGTACTATGGGCCTAAGAAATAAAAATGTTTAAAGTGTTGTACTGAAATTAAGTGAGACAAGTTTCATTACTTAAATTTGAAGGACAAGAATAACATCAAAGTATCTGGTAAATTAATAACAATATCTAAGTGGTCATAATTTCAAACAAATCACTATAAATTTGGATAATCAGTATGTGTGTATTTGTACAATTTTGAGCTAATGGTGAATGTGACTCTGTTAAGTGAGTCAATAATTTTTATGTGATGAGGTCAGAGTGATAGTATAGTGGGTAGGGAGTTTGCCTTGCACATGACCAACCCAGGCTCATTTTATCCCTGGCATCCCATATGGTCTCCTGGGCACCACCAAGAGTAATTCCTGCATGCAAAGCCAGGACTAAGCCCCAAACATTGCAGTATTTAGCCCCCCAAAAGTTATAAAAAGATATGTGCTTGATAGTATATTTCACAGAAACTGCAATAAAAGTCACCACAGTGGTGGAGGGATGAGTGTTTGATCATTGTGTGATTGTAACCCAAACATGAAAGCTTGTAACTATCTCACAGTGATTCAATTAAAAATGTATATTTTCCACCAAATTAAAAAAATAATTACAAATAATATTAAAGGAAAAATAATAACATGCAAGTGTCAAATAAAAAGAAAATAGATTTTTCTTGAAAAGGGCATCAAAAATGGTAAAGCACAAGTGAAAACTGACTACTAAAATGTCATTATTAACTTTCTTACAAAATATGAAAATTAATTAAAATCTTAAGCAATATTGCCTTATTCAAGGAAATCAGTCTAATCTTCATAGAAAATTTGAGCTTTGTTACACTATAATCTGTTCTAATCACTCTCTACTGGTACATGAAATTTTGAAGAATGCATTCTATGGTCTTGAGGAGAATTAGCAGTTTGCCAAACACTGGAAAAAATTGAGCACACTGAAATATTTTTAACGTCTTATTCTCAGGGAACTGTCATTCATTATTTGACCAGTCTGATAGAATTTTGGAAGACTCCACTTACAGATATGTCTGTATTTGATTAATACAGAGTTTGTCCAGTACAAAAATTTCCCCAGAAAATATTTTCTACCCAAGCAGAGAGAGAGAGAGAGAAAGAGAGGAGAGAGAAAGAAGAAAAGGAAGAAAAAGAAAGAAAGAAAGAAAGAAAGAAAGAAAGAAAGAAAGAAAGAGAAGAAAAGAGGGAAGGAGGAAGGAAGGAAGGAAGGAGGCAGGGAGACAGGGAGGGAGACAGGGAGGGAGAAAAAGAAGGAGGCAAGGGTTTATAATTAAACTTTGTTATAAATATGAGGTCCTGGATAACAATTGGGACAAAAACCAGATAAAAACCAATAAATTTATAAAATAAATGTTTTTAAAAATGATGATGATATCCATGGTTGTTTTGTGTGATACTGTAGCATATTCCTGGGAATCTAGAAGACTGAAGATGCAGAGAGAAATGAAAAAGCACAGACATGATCACATGCTCTGAAAACACCTGAGCATCCTCCCAAACTCTTTTCTCTGGATTACCCTGAAACTTTCTGAAAACAGGAAGTGAAAACTAAGGCCCTGTGAACAATTTCCAGGGTAAGTTGAGAAAGTGCCTAAACATTCACGATAGAAACCCTTGGCAATGAGTAGTTGATATATTATTTCCAGACTTGTAAGGGTCATGTCTAATCATTAACAGACCACATAGATAACTGAGAAGAGATTTTTTTTATACATAACAAAGAAAAATATATATACTTTAAAGAATTCATTCAGGGAGGGAGGGAGGGAGAGAGGGAGGGAGGGAGGGAGAGAGGGAGGGAGGGAGGAAGGAAGGAAGGAAGGAAGGAAGGAAGGAAGGAAGGAAGGAAGGAAGGAAGGAAGGGAGGGAGGGAGGGAGGGAGGGAGGGAGGGAGGGGAGAAGGGAGGGAGGGGAGGAGGAAGGGAGGGAGGGGGAGGAGGAAGGGAGGGAGGGAGGGTGAAATCACAGTTGAAAAGCACAAGGAATAAAATAGAGTTGAGTTGATTCTGGCACCACATGACCCGCAAGCATCACTGGATTGTGGCCCTGTGGCCCCCATGACTCCTGAGCACTTCCTCTGGTCCCAAAGAGTGCTGCATTGCTAAATTCACGGAGAATCACAAGTGGATCCTAAGCCCCCCAAACATCATTGCAGATGATCCCAACAAAAGTATTTAAAGTGTCATAATATAATTTCAGATAACAGTTTCTATTCAACCTCAGCAGAACTTCTAAGAGTTTAAAGGGAAAAAAAATCGAATCCATTAGAAGTAATTAAAATGCATTAGAAATAATCTCAGTGGAAAAACAACGATAGAAAACAATAGATAAATATAGAAAGTTCTCTCAAGTACACTGCAAAGTGTAACAAGAAATTCAGCTGTAGTTTTTAGGGAATGATTTTAATAAAGCACTAACAATTCAAAAGAGGTAACTGAAAGTAAATTTAACCAAATATAAAGAAACAATTGTAAATATGCCATTGAGGTTTTAAAATGGATTTTTAAAAATTGAAAGTCTAATTTTCAATGTTAAAATACTAATACTCATAAAGAGATGTTAGAGTATGAGAAAATTTTGTATAAAATCATAGTAATAAATTAAAAGTCACCTATGTGATTATGTTGAGGATCATTGAAATGACAACTGAGTTTCAAAAAAGACATACATAGTGTTAGAGAGGTAATACAGAGGTTGAGGCATTTGCCTTGTGTGTGGTTAAGCACTGTTTGATCCGGGTACTACATATGGTGTCCAAGCACCATTAGTAAAAATTTTTGAGCTCAGAGTGAGAAGAAGCCCAGAAAACCACTGAGTGTAGTCCTCCCAATCACTAACCAACAGAAGATTTAAAAGATATATGCATTACTGTTATTCAAAACAATAATCCACAGTTATATTTTCATTTAGGCTAAATTCTATTAAACTTGCAAGACAATGAGTTTTTTAAGTGGAGGAAAGAGAGAGAAATAGATGATTTCCCAAGAATTTTTTTAAAGTTTTAAATAAGACTGTGGTAGAAAAGGAGGGCCATAAAGATGAGTCATAAGAGCAAAGGGCAAAATGACAGCAAGCATGAGTCCTCAACCCAAGGCTCTGGTTTAAAGATGAAGAGAGCCACACTCAGCATATTCAGGCAACCTCTAAAAACAAACCCCAAAAATCTTCTAAAAATCTTCATAATTTATTTTCCCAGCCTGAAAATAAGTTGGTTCTAAAACCAAAAAAATAAGTAACTCGACTCTAAAATCACAAGAAGGAAATCACCAGGACTTGGTGTATCTAAAAGCAGTTTCAATCTCCAGGAAGAAACCCAGGGTTTCTAACACCTTAATCTCAGTCTGGACGAGATGAGCAGTAGAAAAATTAGATGAAGCATGAACCAGGAAAACTTTGAAGAAAACACCAGCTACTGTTTTCAGTTGCTAAATTTGTAACAACTTGTTATTCAGTAATAATAAACAAATACAGACAAAAATGACTGTTATTTAATCATTACTAATGATAAAGTTTGATTGCCATGGAATAAAATGAAAACCAGTAATTTTTTAATGTTGCATATGAAAACTCACCACTTTTACTAAAGTACGAATTTCATGTGTTATTGACTTGGTTGCCCTCTCATGGTCACTCAGTCTCTCCTCCTTTTTTTCAATATGAACAGAGAGGGTATCTGCTGACTTTGAGTAATATGTAATCAGATTGTCAAGCCTCTGTATGTCTTGTCTAAGAAAGAAACAGTTACAATTTTCCACACTGAAAAAATATATACTTACAAGTATATTTAAATTAGCTTATGATTTATAGAACTCAAACAGACAACAAACACTGTCCTCACATTGTTCATGGCTTTTGCTCAAGTGGGCCCAGTAATGTCTCAGTTTTGAAACTTGTTGTTATGTGTTTGGCATATTGAATATGTCACGGTAGCTTGTCAGGCTTCACTAGCTTGCCGGGCTCTCTCCGAGAGGGCCGAAGGAATCGAACCCAGCTCTGCTGGGCTGGCTGCGTGCAATGCAAACGCCCTACCGCTGTGCTATCACTCCACCCTATAAAGAATTTCTTCTTAAACTTTCTCAACTCAAAGTACTTCTTGGAAAGTCCACTCAGATATCAAGAATTAAAGAATAAGAAAAAAATTCACTAGCATTCGGGGTATGGTGCTGCCCAGCAGGTCAACTTGTACCTGCGGGATGAGTGCATCAGCAGCCTGATGGTGCCTTCAGGCTTCCTGACTCCCCCAAATTGCTGCTGTGCCTTTGACCAGACTTCAACAACTTGGGACCAAGTTTACCAAGAAATTAAACGGTCAAAGGTTAGATATGTGGGAGCCATGCCCACAAACCACCTCCGGCTTAGTTATACAAGTTCATTTATTGGTCTTATCTCAGAGACCCAGAGATAAATCTCAAAAGAGATCCAAAGCTGCAGTTAATCTCGGACCCACTCATAGCTGACTAGACTGAGGTAAATCAGAGGAGGATGGGTTGACCTGTTAGCCTGCCTAAGCAGAGCCTCTGGCAGCTGCTTGCTTCCATAATCCAAAATCACTGCCATACCTCGGGCCTTACTCCACCGTATCAGGACACGGTATACTAAAGATATATTCTGCTGAAAATTTTGGTATGCAGGTTTTGTGACTGAAATCTCCAGGGTTTCTCAGAGTTGGGGTGAGCTACCTCCCCCTACTTCCCAATACTCATGGAAGCACTGGCAGTCACCCCCATGAACCAACTCCAGTGCCACCATGTAAGCTCTACTACCGGCCTTGATTCAGAGACCCATAAATAAATCTCGAAAGATATCAAAAGCCACAGTTAGGCTCGGATTCGTTCATGGCTGAACAGACTGGGGTAAATCGGAGGGGGGCAGGTTGGATTGGTGCCTGTCCAAGCAGAGCCCCTAGTAGTCACTTGCTTCCACAATCCAAAATCACCACCATACTCCCAACCTGACTCCACCATCTCAGGACAAACCTCACCAAGATACAATCTGCTGAAAAGTTTGGTATATGGGTTCTGTGACTGAAATCTCCAGGCTTTCTTGAGGTCTGGATGGGCTACTTTTCCCACCTCCCTGTACTTCCAGAAGCCTCTGTAGACACATCCACACCCCAAAGCTGCCACTCAATTGAAAAGCTACTTCAGTCTTACGGTTCTGATAAAAATACCAAATGAATGCTTTGAACAAACACCATGACCTCTTAGCACCTCTATTGCAAATCATAATGCATAAAAGGAAAGGGGAGAGAGAGAAAGAGAGAGAGAGAGAGAGAGAGAGAGAGAGAGAGAGAGAGAGAGAGAGAGAAACATGGGCCAGGGCAGGGCAGTCAGGTTGAAAGGTGGTCGTTAAGGAATGACGTAGCCAAATATCCAAACCACAGTGTCAACAGCACTGAAATCAGGAGACCCAAACTTTAACAACCAAACTTCGAAACCTGCCTGTCAAGAGGGCAGGCTGTCTAAGGGTGACGGGGCTGGAGAGGGTGGAGAGTTGGGGCAATGAGCAGAGAGCACACATTGAGGGAACTAGAAACATTGGTGAATGGAAGTTGACACTGGCAGAGGGATTGGTGCTGCAATATTGTATATCTAAAACTCAACTATGAACTATTGTGTAAATCACAGTGCTTTGATTTAAAAAATGTGGAGAAAAGAAATTTATTTTAAAATTCAAGATATATTTCAATAGCACTTTGAAAACAATTGTACAGCTAAATTAAAGAATTAAAGAAGTGATTGCCATAACGTTTTGTTGTTTTGAAACTTTCCATTTGTAAGAGTGCAAATTGATGAACTACATAATCCTTTGTTTTATCTGAGGAACAGAATACACATTTCAAATAGGAAAATATCTTTAGACAATGGTAATATAGTAATGATGTACATTAAAATAACAAAAATGACACTTTCATGAAGTATCAACAAGTAAAAGAAACAACTGACTTCTTAAAATGATAAACAAAGTAACAAACTGGCACATATGTTTGAAACCCATATAAAAGAATATTTATGTGTAACAAAGTCTCACAAGCCAATCTGGAATAGAAACAAAAATAATACCAAATAAATAAATAAGTAGAGCAATAAGTAAATATTCATTAGAAAAAAAATGACAGTGAACAATAAATAAATTCATGGTGCACTGAACTGGCCCAGAAATTTATGTACTCATATTGATTTTAGAAGTAGTAAAGGAAAACTGAAACAAATTACATCACTACAGATAAGAAAATTAAAATAACAAATAATAACAACATTATTTATAATTCATTGGAGAATACATGTTTCCCTATGAGGCTTCTTCTAAACACCAGGTAGATAACAAGACCAGTGAAGCATTAGCATTCATAATTTCCTTCTTCTGAAATTACTTTTTCTTCTCACAATGGTATCTATTTCAGGATATTATCCCAGTCAGAAATACAAATTACAGACTTTGGCTAACTTGTGGTAATTGCTCAGTATCATTGATTTGTGAGCTAAGTATTACTTAAATTGTCTCTTTATCCCTATTTATTGAACTAGTTGATGATACCAGTTCTTCACACTTCTAAGGAATTTTCAGTAAGAATCTGTCATCAGTTTTGCAATTATTTGTGACTGAGGACTCATACAGATATTCAGTGAAGCCATAACAACAAATATTTAAGTCAGAAACACATACTATGTACCTAAATAAATTTTAGATAAAATATATTAAAGGTGAGTTATGTAAATGACTTAATTATTAAAAAATACAATATTGAAGTCAATGTTAAAAGTGACACTGGGCATAAGGAAACTTAAATATCTAATCAAGTAAATTCTAAAGATTTGAGGAATTATATATAATTTTTGTTCATTATTTTATCATTTTTATTTGATTGTAACTCTACAATGGATTGTATGGTATCATCAATTGGATAAATTAAAAAATATTTTATTCGGAACCATAAATAATTTAAAGGTGACAGATAATTTAACATACAACAAAATACAAATACATATAATAATTTCAAACTATAGTATAAAACTCTACAAAGCATTAAAATATATGAATATATTAAAAAAACTCGAGTCTATATATTAAAATAAATACATTACATGCACATGAAGTTAAGTATACTCTATGTTCATATAATACTTTTATAAATTTTTATATAATAACCTAATTTGGATTCTTAAAAATAATTATTTTTGCATACATATAATGAGTTAGACTATACCCATTTTCAATTTGGTAGTACATTTGAAGAGCTTTAAAAATGACACATAGCTGTCCATATACCTGAGGATATATCTCTAATGTTTCAATTCTAATTGATTGATCTAAGATTCTGTCCTTGTTCCAGTACCATACTGTTTTCATTACTACAGCTTAGAAGTACAGTTTGAAGATGGGAGTGCAATTTGTTCTATCTCTTTTTCCCTAGGTTTATTTTGGCTAATCAGGAGTATGAGCAGATAATCTTTGATGAAGGAGCAGAACGTCTGAAGGAAAGGTAAGGAACACTTCTTCTATAAATGGTGCTGAGAAAACTAAAAAAATTAAAAAAAAAAACTCAGACCCCTATCTAATACTGTGTATAAAAGTCAAATTAGGGGGTATGGTGCTGGCAGCAGGTCAATTTGTACCTGTGAGGTGAGTGCATCAGCAGCCTGATGGCACCTTCAGTTACCCAAAATCGCTGCTGTGCCTTTGGCCAGACCCCAAAAACTTGAGGCAAAGTTTACTAAGAACGTAAACGGTCAAAAGTTAGGTATGTGGGAGACACACCCACAAACAGCTCAGGCTCAGCTATATAATTGGAGGCATGGCCTCTCTGGTTCCTGATCGAACTGCTTAATGGCCATGATCCCAGAGACTCAGGAACAAATCTCGAAACCCAATGGCTTTTGGCAGAAATGTGTTTGGACCCTGCAGTAGGTTACTGTCACCGGGCCTCCCCAGGGGGGAAAGGTGCTGTTCCTCCATCTGCTCCCCTTGGCGGCTTGGTGACTGCCATCCACCAGAGGCCATTGGACAGTCAGGTTTGGGCCCGCAGTGACAAGACACACGGGGCCTCATGGGATGGGGGTGGAGCCAACCCTTTCCTCCACCCCAAGGAGACCCCGAGTTGCCACCCACAACGGCCTCTCTGGCTACTGATCAGGCTGCTTAATGGCCATAATCCCAGAGACTCAGAAACAAATCTTAGAACCCAGTGGCTTTTGGGACCCGCAGTAGGTTACTGTCACTGGGCCACCCCAAGGGGGACAGGGTGCTGTCCCTCCACCTGCTCCCCATAGTCGGCTCAGTGGCTGCCATCCTCCAGAGGCTACTGGACAGTCAGGTTTGTGTCCTCAGTGATGAGACACATGGGGCCTCATGGGATGGCGGTGGAGCCGGCCCTTTTCTCCTGGTCCCAACGAGACCCCAAGTCGCCGCCCATGAACGGCCTTTCTGGCTCCTGATCAAGCTAATAATTGCCATGATCCCAGAGACTCAGGAACAAATCTCAGAAAACAGCAGGTTTTGGCAGAAATTCCTCCATATTTAAGTGTTAAATTTTTGGAATTTCAAAATTGTGCGGCCACTACTGCAGCCACGCAACATCATATGTTATTCTTAACCAGTAATAGAAAACAAAATTGTCTATTGTTGCCTTTTCAGCAGATCTGAGTGTTGGGGTAAAATCCCAAATAATAATTGTGGGTCTGGTGTCAAAATATTGAATGTGATCAAAGTAGAGAGAGAGTAATGTGGAAATCATCTTCCCCAAAGGTGGGGGAGGGTGTGGGATGGAGGTATACTGGGGTCTTGGGGGGTGGATAATGGGCCCTGGTGAAGGTATGGGTATTTCATTGTATGACTGTGACTTAAACCTGAAAGCTTTGTAACTACTCTCAGGTGATTCAATAAATAAAAGTATAAAAAATAAAAAAGTCAAATTAAAATGGATTAAATACCTTGATATCAAACCTGAATTCATAAGTTTCACTGAGGAAAACACAGGCAGAACTTTCCATGACATTGAAGCTTGAGGCATTTTTAAAAAGTCAATGCCATTGACCAAGTATATGAAAACAAAAGTAAACAAATGGAAGTATATTAAATTAAGGAGTTTTGCACCTCAATGGAAGCAATGACCAAATTCAAAGATATCTCACACCCTGCTAGGTATCCCACTCATGTGATAGAGGGTTGAATAATAGCCGATATATATATATATATATATATATATATATATATATATATATACACATATATATGGTAGAACTTTACAAGAAAATAAATCCAGCCTCATCAAAAAATAGGGAAAATAGATGAACAAAAATTTCCCAAGGAAGACATAGAAAGGACAAAAAGTCATAAGAAAAAATGCTTGCATCACTAATCATGATCAAAATGCAAATCAAAACAATAATGAAATATCAGTTTACACCACAGAAATTGGGAGTCATCAAAAAGAATAAAAGCAACCAGCTGTAGAGTAGATACTAGGGAAAAGGGACCTTAGTTTACTGCTGTTGAAAATGTATACTGATCAAGTCTTTCTTGAAAACAGTATTGGTACTCCTCAAAAAACTAAAAATTGAGCTTTCATTTGATTCAGCAATTATGCTTCTTGGAATATGCACAACAGTCCCAAAATACAATGCAGAAAGGACATTTGCACTCCTAGATTCACTGCAGCTCTATTCATCATAGCAAAAATCTGGACTTGCATGCCCAGACATAGATGACTGGATATCAACACACACACACACACACACACACACAAACACACCAAGCCTAAGCCTATTATTACATATGCTATATGTGTAATATATATTAATATATTAATATTATTACTTATATTAATATCATGCAATGTAATATCAGTCATAAGAGCACACAAAATCATGCAATTTGCTGCTATGTGAATAGATCTGGAAAGTATCTTGCCAAGCACAAAGTTAGTCAAAGGGAGAGAGAGACCAATACAGAATGATTTCTCATAAGCAGTACATAAAGAGATAGCAGGGGAATACAAAAATACTGTAATGCAGGAGAAATGAAGACTATATGAATGAAGTGTTCTTCAGTAGGAATCTTGCCAAGAAAGTTGGGGTTGGGGTATGAATGGAATAGGACAGAGACAAAAATATTGTAAAAATGGTGGGGAGAAATGTTCAACTGGGAGGATGAAAGGGTGATGAAATGTGGTCAAATGTTATGCATGAAACCCTATCAGTAACAGTACTACAAAACACAGTGTCAATAATGTATTTTAAAAATGTATATCGGGGTCAGAGGGATAGTAGAATGGGTAAGATGTTTGCCTTGCATGTGGCCAACCCAAGTTTGATTTTCGGCATCCCATGTGGCTCCTTGAGCACCACTAGTAGTGAGTGTTGCAGGTGTGGCCCAAGAATTCAAAAAACAAAGTGCTGTAATAAAGACAGACTTGTTGGTGGGTGAAAAACTGGGAACATTTGTGGAGGGAAATGGACAATCATGAGTGGATTGATATTGTACTATTATATCCCTGTAAACCAATCATGAATAACTTTGTAATTCATAGTGACTAAATATAATAAAATGAAATAAAACAGACACAGAAATTAGCAATCTATACATGTGCATTTACATGTTTTTAAATGCATAAGTTAATTTAGACACAAATAGTAATAAAGTACTAAGGATAGCTCATATCATCTGAATTTTATATGATATATTTTTATAAATTTTGTATATATATTATAAATTTCCAGCCCTATAGCACAGCGGGTAGGGCGTTTGCCTTGCACGCAGCCAACATGGCCGACCCGAGTTTCATTTATTATTTTAGGCTAATACTAAATTAGTGAAAAATTCTTACTCATAGACTATTAAGCTTAATTCATCATCTTCAATATCTGTTTCTGATTCTTCTTTCACTTGTTTAGCTTTCAATTTGACATTTTCATTGTATTCTGTAATTTCTTGAAGTTCATCATTAATTTGTTGATAGAGTTCTACTGCCTGAAACAAATGGCATTTTGCTAGTATGTCTACTAAACTGCAAGTTTAAAAAATTACACAAGAGAAAGATTAGAGTTAGAGTAGTTCTGATATAGATAAAAAGTTATGTATAGGGGACAAGGGAGACAGTGACCCGAGTTTAACTCCTACCACCCCATAAGGTTTCCAAGCACTACTAGAAGTGATCCCTGGGTGCAAAGCCAGGAGTAAGCGCTAAGCAAGTTGGATGCAGTCTTCCAAATTATGTTATTAAAAGGTCTGAGAAATAGTGCAGTGGTTTACATATAGGTGACTTCTGGTCAATTATCCCAGCATGACTTTGTTCTCCAAGCACCGCAGGAGAAACCCCTGAGCACACATCCAGGAGTAGCCAAACAACAGCTACAAAATGCCTAAATAAAACAAGTAATGAATAATATGCAATTCCATAATGATCAATTTGCCAAGTACTACAGAAGAGTAGCTTAGGGACATTTCTGTGCTTGTGGTCTTGTGTCTAGAAGCTGTTACTTTATGAGGCAATTTCATTTATATGACAATCTCTTGGGTAGGGTCAGAGTGGATAATATTTTTGTAGCGTCATAATCTGAACTGTTTGTAGAATTTGAAGGAATTTTAATGAATTCTTTTGAACTTGATTTTTCAAGTATACTGACTAGAAGTCTTGCTTTTTTTTTTTTTTTAGTAAAAAACAATAAGGTTACATTGGCAGGCTTCTAACCAAGGTCTCAAAACAGAATAGAGGCAGCAGAATAAAGCAAATTGAAGCTATGTAGAAGAAAATACTATGTACAAAACATGATACATATTCCCTCAGACCTAGTAATCACTCACTTGTTTTACAGAAGCTATCAGAATGCTTGGGGCTTAAATAAGTTTTATCATTCCAAGTAACTATTCTTTCTAATTTTAGGAATGATATTCTATGTTCTCTAATTTCCCTAAGATCTCTCAGGCATAATTATTTGATTTTTAGGCCAGGACTATCTAAGAGCAGGCACAAAAGAACCCATTTTTGTGTTTGAAATACAGAGAAAAATATAACGACTAAAACATACGTTATCAGACAAGGGGAAAAAATACCAGGCTTATTGTTTCTAAGAACATGCTATCCTTTCTATATTATAGAGTGTAACTTTTTGTCAATTATTTATTCAACTATTCATCATTCCAAAGCATTTGCTTCATCCGTGTTACATGACAAATTGTCTCTTAGTCATGTTTGAGAATATCTAATAACATAAATAATTTAGCATGTACCTATGTATATCACATACACACAATGTGCAGAAGGATATGACTTAGAAAAGTACTCTTGTAATAAAGTAACATTGGGAATATACATGTTTATAGTCATAATTTTTTTTCATTTCTAGGAACAAATAACTGCTTCATGAAACCCAAATAAAGGAGATATGTACTGGGTTAGGAAAGCAGTGTTGGGCTGGGGAGATAGTGTTGACGCATATATTATTTGCATGAGTGGGACTTGAGTGATCCATGGCACTGTGTGTCTCCCCAAATAACCAGGTGGACCCCGTAACCCCGGCATGGTGGGGACCAAGCTGCACTGCATCCTGACCAGGTTGGCCAACATCACAAGGTGTTCTGCTGGGCACTCTAAGCACAAAATATAAAATTTGTTATGTGAACATCAGTACCAGGGAATTACCGGGAATTTAAGAAAATGATATGTCTTCGAAGAAATTTTTTGACTTCCCACTATTATTTAAAATTCAGATCCTTTTCTAGTTATATTTAGAGCTTACATAAATAACATATGATAATCTATCTAAGATTTCTAAGCCTTAATTTGTTTCATGTGCTCACTAGACTTACATTGCTGTCACTGCTATGATCATTTTCATTTAATAAATGCAGAAATGAATGCACAATGATTAAATAAGTACCTAAAATTTAAGTAGCATCACATTACAGCATGCATAGGTCCTGAGTTTATTCCTTAGCAAAGAATGTCTCCCAAACTCTGCTGTGTGTGATAATGTTCAATAAAAACAAACACTTAGGTTCTGGATAAAACAGGTTACCAAAGGTCTAGGAATGGGGAGAGATGTGGCATATGAGGAAAGGGGCCTATGGACAGTTGTAGAGGGATTATGAGGGCAGGGATGGTACACTGTATCACTAAAATAAAAACATACACACTCTTCTAAACCAATGCTACCTCAAAGTAAACTGACAATAAAAAAATAAAATTCATAACTATTCATTGACTGATTTACCTTATACTTGTTTTTATATTGTTCCTCTAAAACATAAAATTCATGGCGCTGCTTTTCCATCAAAAGAGGAACATGACTTCTCATGTACTCTATGTCTGCTTGAATTTTTTCATTGTATGTTTCTAATTTTTCCTTTTGTTCCTGAAGGTATTTAAGTTTATGAGTTTTATTTTCAATATCCCATTGCAATTCTACAATATCTTTTAAAAAGGCATCATGCTCTAGACATAGAAAAAAAGAAGTGAGGTTTTAAGTTAAAATCTCCAGAAATAAATGTATTTAAGCATACATAAATAAAATATTTTAGTTTCAGAATTTACTTGTATGTAAATCTTAAAAATTAGTTAAGATATTATTGCTTTATAAAACACATTGCTTTTAATTATAGAAGAAATTAAATATCTTTATTATTTGATAGTTGCTTTAATATCAATCCTGTTTATTATAACTTATATGCATACTTAGTTTTGCATAAGCAATATGTATAACTCCAATGTAATAAAAATTGTAATTATCTAAACAATCTAAAAGTAAAAATGAAAGATAAGTCATAATTATCATAAAGGAAACTGAAAAATGGTTATCAATTTCTGATTATACAGTTATATATAAAACACCCAAACGAATAAATTGTAAATAAGATTTATCTTAAGAAATTAAAACATAAAGTAAGTTTATCTTCATAAAGAAGATGTAAAACAAAATAACTCTTTTATAAGAACAGTTGCCTACATAAAACTAATTGTCTAAATCTTATAATAAACCTAATACAAATCATGTTTAGAGTATAGGAAGAAAAAATAAAATGCCAAGGAATAATACAAAATTGAATTTGAATGAATAATAAAGGAGATATTTTTTCAAAGCACAATTTGGAAAAATTACTTGTTATCCTCCTTAGCCTAAATGAAACAAACAAAATTCTTATATGCACTCTCATGCTAAGGATGGAGATTTATGGATTCTCAGAATCATGTCATTACTTTATAATTAGAATTATCTTTAGATGAGCATATATTTAGTCATGAGACTCCTGTATCAAATAAATATATCCAAATAGGACACCAAGGACTTCAGTGTTTCAGGGATTTTCCCATCTAAATTTAACATTGATTCTTACTAATCTCTCCTTTTTAAAAAAATTTATTTATTTGCTTTTTGGGTCACACCTGGCGATGCACAGGGGTTACTCCTGGCTAAAGCAGTCAGGAATTACTCCTGGCAGTGCTCAGGGGACCATATGGGATGCTGGGAATTGAACCTGGGTCGGCCGCATGCAAGGCAAATGCCCTATCCGCTGCGCTATTGCCCCAGCCCCAAGATTCTTACTAATCTCTAAACAATCCCATTTCAAGCTTAAATGTTTGTCTTAGTATACTCAATAATTAAAAATTTATCAAGGTATTTTAATGTTATTTTTAAATCTAAAGGCAAAAATATACTAATATTGAAAAATCATAATTGATTTTAAAGGATTTTATCTCTGATTTCATAATAGAAATCAAAGTTGGGGATTTTTTTTTTATTTTTATGTAGGAGTACTGCTATTTATTCAGTCACTGATTAGCTGATTGAATTGGGCATGAACTCCACCTTACTTTTTTTTCATAATTTTATTTATTTTTATTCTTATATTTATTTATTGAATCACTGTGGGAAAAGTTACAAAGCTTTCAGATTTAAGTCTTGGTCATATAATGATCAAACAACTCTCACTTCACCAGTACTCATTTTTCACCACCTAGAACCCCAATATACCCCCCTCCCACTCCTCCCAATGCCTGTGAGGCAGATGATTTCTACTTAACTCTTCTCTACACTGATTATATTCATTATTTTGACAAAAGATGCACCATTATTGTTTAGAATTACCGCCCCCCCCCCCCCCCAACAGCCAGAATTGCTGAAAAGGCACTGTGAAATACTTTGTTTTCTAGAGCTGGTTATGAGAATCATATAATCTCGCGTGGCCGCAATAGTGGCCTCGCGATTTTGGATTTCTGCAAAGAGCCAGATAATTACGAGATTGGTTCTGTGCATCTGGTGTTATGGCTGTGCCGAAGAGCCGCTCACGGGGGGAGGGCAACTCGTGATCTAAGTAGGGCTTGAAGGATGAGCCGGTACCGCACCCCTTCCCATGAGAATGCAGTTGCCCCATCACTGCCAGCTCATACCTGGCTTTCCTATAAACTCTGAAGTGGCGGCCACCTTGCTGCTGGGGGTGTGGAGAGGTGGAAGGGAGCAACACCCTTTCCCTCCCGGGGAGGCATGGAACCGTAGTTTAATGCATGGTCCATTCACTTTTCTGCCGCAAGCTGCCAGGCTCTGGATTAAGTCCCAAAGTTGGAGATTTTAATGACTTGTCTCAACATTATACAGAAAATCTGAGACTTAAGACGTTGACAATAACTTGAAAGAACTCGACTCAAAATATTTTTATACTCAATATAACAACAGCAGCATATGCACTAATTCAACTTCACACAGATTCTCCAAGACATACAAAATGTGAAATAATTTTACTCTAAACTTTTTAACATGCTTAAAACAAATGAAATGTTTTCCAAAAAATTAAATTAAGAACCAGAGGCTGGGAAGATAGTAAGGGGACCTAATTAGAATTCTCAAGCATCATCTCTGGTTGTAGCCCTGCAGTTCCTGCCCTCTCATCCCCCACACTGTGGGCTCAGTATCAGTGGTATAACCATGTTAGTACCCAACACTGCTAGGCATGGGCAGCACTGCATGCATCCTTGGCCCAAGCAAGGAACTGTGGCCAGCTGGCCAAGTATTACCAGGGTTAGCTCCCAAGTACTGCTAGACATCAATATTCAACCTCCCTGACTCAAAGAAGAAATCAACAGGAAAATTTTCAAGAAAAATATAATAATTCCCATACATTTGAAAATAAAACAGTAACTTCTAGGTAAATAATAATAAAAAATAGGTCTAAAAAGAAATTTCACTTCTTTTCATCTACCCCAAGAGCCCCATGCTGCTTTGAAAAGACATTTTCACTTTTATGTTCATTGCAGCACTGTGATCTGGAAATAACCCAGAGTTCAAGAACAGAGAAATGAAGAATGAAATTGTGTATATATAAATAAAACAGTATTATTTAGAGATATATAAAAGAGAAAATCATGCAACTGACTGTCATGTGAATGGTGCTATAGGATATCATAATGATTGAAGATTTGATGGAAAGATTTAAATTATTGAAATCAGATACAGAATTATTTATATGCAAGCTATAAAGAAACATAATAAGAGGGGTTGGAGAGATAGTATAGAAGGTAAGGTGCTTGTCCTGCAGGTATTTTAATGCAGGTTCAAGCCTCATCACCATAAGTTTCTCTCCACCAGCCCCATGTGTCACCAGGAGTGATATCTGAGCATAGAGTTCTGAATAAGCCCTGAACACAGACACAGTGGCCCCCAAACCAAAACAACAACAAAAGAAGCATGGTAAGAGAATAACAAATGGCAAAAGCAACAGAATCTGAGCGTCGTTCTACAAAAATTAGTTTACCAAAGGATTGGGTGGAGTTGGAAAGTAGGAGATCCTGGGACAATGGTGGAGACCATGGAAGGAGTGTTTTGAAACATTGAGCATTGAGTCATGAATAAACCCTGAACACAGCCAGTGTGGAATATTGTATAAATGAAGTTCTATTGTAAATCATGGTGCCTCAATAACAATTGGAAAAAATAATTTAAAAGAATTTTTAAAAACTCACAAGGGGATTTTTAAAGTATTGATTTCCAAAATTTATTAATTGTAAATTTTATTATTTTCTCTGGGCTGGAGCGATAGCACAGCGGGTAGGGCGTTTGCCTTGCATGCAGCCAGCCCCTCTTAGAGAGCCTGGCAAGCTACCGAGAGTATCTAACCTGCACGCAAATCCCTACCGAAAGTATCTTGCCCATATGGCAAATCCTGGCAAGCTCCCCATGATGTATTCGGTATGCCAAATACAGTAACAACAAGTCTCACAGTGGAGACATTACTGGGCCCGCTCGAGCAAATCAATGAACAATGAGAGGACAGTGAACAGTGACAGTGATTACTTTCTCTAAGTAAAAATTAACTCAGCATGATTATTTCTAAAATACAATTCATGCAATCTTTAAAAGAATTTTAAATAAGCTGTAACATTGAAATATCTTTTATAATAGATTGTTGAAATACCTATTACAGAGCCATAGAGATAGAATAAGAGGTAGGGCGCTTGCTTGTATGTGGTTGACTCAAATTTGATCAAAATTGATCATGCATTCCTCCATGAAACTACACTAGAAATTATTCCTGAGCAGAATCAGGAGTAAGCCCTGAGCACTGTGGCCCAAAATTCAATTAACAACAACAAAAAGTCTATTATGGAGCACAAATTGTACTCCAAAATAAAAATAAATTTTATTTTAGGGAAAAAAATTAACTAAATTGTCAAAGTTAGTGCTGCATTAAAACATAAGTTGTAGGTGAAATCAGTTACAAAGCAAGAGAAAATGAAGAAATTAATTATATCAAAACTGAAAAATTAAATTTAGCAAAGCATAAATATATGTTTTTAAAATATAAGCCAAGTTAACCAATCTTTAAATAAAAACTAAGATAAAAGATGATGAAGCAAAAATTAACATAATCAAGAATAAGAGATGCCATCACTCCTATTATTCAAATGTAAATAATTATAAAATAATTGTGAATACGTTATGCCATCAAATAAGACAACTAAAGTGAAATGAAAAAAATTCCTCAAAAATACAAATTGTCTAAATATAATAAAACATAGGTATTAAATCAGTAAATAATTATAACTGGCTATTAAAATGCAATGACAAACTTGAATAAGATGCACAAATACGGGAAACTCAACAACTGAATCTTGTGCATAAAAATATGACTTCAAGAAAAAAATACTCGGAAGTCAGAAAAAGCAAGCAAAAGCTTACTGATTTTTACAGAAATAACAAGAGATAAAGATGAGATCATTATGAAACATGTTGAAATGAGCAGAAATACCAGGGACAATTAAAAGAAGAGCAAGACGACAGATGGGTATTTATTCACTTCCCTCTCTGTTGTGGAAGAGGTTTTGTATTTGTGTGGTGGGCCACATAAATTCTTTGTTTGGACAAGATACTGATTTTGTTTGGTCAGGATACTGATTTTGGCTGAAGGATGTGAGTAAAAGTAAAACTATGTCAGTTTCAAGCTTGAGGGAGGGGCATTCTATGTTTCTAGTTACTAGTCTACTCCTGTCTCTTGCCATGTGAAAACCCTGTCCCTGGAGCTGCATGGGATGAGGATGACAGATACATTAACTATATGCTTGAACATAGCACAGCTTTGGCCCAGGTTTCCTGAAGAGAGCTTCGGTATGGACCCATAAATGAAAAAAAAAAAAGCTGAAAACGAAAGTCACCAAGTTTCAAGGTGATTTTTTCCACAAAGAATTCGTGTATTAATAAATGACTGACTTACATGATAAACGTTACTAACAAATGAAATAAGATTTAAAATTATATTACTGAAGTTTTCATCCATAGAGGTACATGATATATGATTCTTTCCATAATCTATTTTTTCCCAAAATTCCCTTGCCAATCTCTAAAACAATCTCCCAGACTTCCTTCAGACACATTTTCTAACTGCCTGAATTCTCTGCCATCCCTTTTGCCACTTTCCAGACTTTCATAGCCCTTCTCCTTCAATATGATGTTTTCACTGCTCCCATATTGAGATTGCAATACAGCAGTTCCACAAATTATATCAACACACCATTCAAATCCATTTAGAAACTGGAACTGCCATGCTATTTTTCTCTTTTATTAGAATGGGGAAGAATCCATGAAGCTTTAAAGATAACATTAAGGGAAAGAATTTGTAGAAGCAAGTTTCTATGGTAGTAGCAGGAAAATACTAGAGTTATTACCTCATTTGTATCTAAGTATAATATGATAAAATGGAGTTCTTTATTAAAACCTTGCTATAAAAAAACCTTTGCTCTACACATACAACTGCCATCATGAATGTGCAATCAAAAATAAACCTTTTTTTTGGCTATCCTTTGAATAGAGAAAATAAAAGGCATTTTCTGGATTATTGGTTGCTTTAAAGATACCAAAAGTTGTTATATTTTTAGAGAGGACAAAATAACTAAGCAGAGAGGAACGGAACCAGGGGTAGTGATATACTAGTTTCATTCTTCTTCATCTCCCATAGTTGCTTGTCACTGATTCTCAAACAAAAGATGAAGTTCAAAATTTAACATTAAATAATATTTATCAGCCTCCTGGGCCACAAAACAAAAGATACAACAAGAATGGGAGATAGACTGATTTCAAGGAGGAAAATAAGATATATAAAAAGAATTAATGTCATCAATTTTATAAACTATTATCTAAACATCTAGAAACACAATGTGAAAGTTGTCAAGGATATTAAAAGGTTTTCCTCTAACATTTAAAATGAACTTTAGAATAACAAGCTATAAATATGTAATTAAAAGTTTGTAATCAAGTTCATAAAATTTAGATCTTACATACCACATATATCAATATGTAGGCAAAATGTACTTGAAAGCACATCATTTTCTAGGAATATTTTCAAACAGAAGGTATGTAACTTAATAAATACATAGCAAAAATAAGTTTAAATTTCACTGCATATATTAGATGCTAAAAATAAACCAGATTAACAGACTTTCCAGGTTTTTGTATATATATTTAATAGTATTGAATAAAAGATAACCCAACACTAAAATATCTATTACCAATGCAGAGATGCCTTCCATCATTTATTAGATACCTAGACTGTGGACTCAGGTAACTTAATTTAATTTTAATTATCAAGCAGAACTCCATATGGTCCCCAAACTATAACATATAAACTCTCCTATAAAAGGCAAATTAGATTATTTGTAAATTAATCCACATACTTTTTTTTTGGTTTTTGGGTCACACCCGGAGATGAACAGGGGCTATTCCTGGCTCATGCACTCAGAAATTACTCCTGGCGGTGCTCAAGGGATGACATGGGATGCTGGGAATTGAACTCGGGTTGGACATGTTCAATGCAAAACACCCTACCTGCTGTGCTATTGCTCCAGCCCCAAAATTTAACTGTCTCTTAACACTAATTTTTACCACTCTTGCTGCTTTTGTTACTACTTGTCCCATCAATTCTAACAAAGAAGGGCCTCTCAAATAATGCAAAAACTGCAGATGACTCGTTTTGTGCATGACTGTAAATCATCTCAAAAATCTACTGAGTTCTAGAATTTTTTAGAATACCTATTCTGACTCTATTATAGCCTTGCTTCCCTCTAAAACTCTAATATGTATGTATGTATTTATGAGAGGCCCATCTATGCCATTTTATGTAGTAAAGTATGTATATCACAATCACGATCATCCTGTTGTTCATCAATTGCCTTGAGCATGCACCAGTAATGTCTCCTTCGTCCTAGCCCTGAGATTTTAAAAAGTACCATATTCAAGGCTCTTTCAGTGTTAGGAGAATGAGACCCATCATTGTTACTGGTATTTGGCAAATCGGGTATGCCACGGGGAGTTTGCCAGACTCTGCTGTGTGGGCAGGTTACATTTGGTATCCTGCCATGTTGTCCAAAGTAAGAATGAGATAATAAGATGTCATGCGGCCACAAATGTGGCCATTCACTTCTGGGAGCTGGGTTTTATAGTCTCTGGGTCTTAGCCGTTGATGGGATTACACGGCACGGGGGTGGGGGGAACGCAGCGGGGTGGGGGGGACAGTTGGTGGGTGTGACCCCTGCCTACGGAAGATGGAGGATCTGGGTGGAGGATGCTCAGCCCCGATCCGAGCAGGCTTGGAGATCTCAGCCCCAGGACCCACATGCCTTTTTTCCTCTGCTGTTACCTTCATGCATATGGAGAGTGGTCTCAGCATAGTTGTGGCTGGTTCTGGAGCTCTTCGGCTGCCAGGGCTCTGCTCAGGGCGGGGAGAGAAACTCAACCTGGCCCCTCCAATGGGTCCTGGCGAGGACAGCCAGGCACGAGGGCAGGAGATTGTGCTGGTCTCTTCTGGGAGCTGGGTTTTATAGTCTCTGGGTCTTGTATTTATGTATATCTTAAATTCTATTAAAATTGAATCATAAAAGTGACTAAAAATTTAAAACATAATATGTGTTCTAATATTTTCTTGCCACTTCCTGGAATGTGTACAATCTTTAGAGATTTTTTAGAGGCCATAACAAATGAGTATGTATGGATTCCATTTGACATGTAAATGAATGGCTATTGTCTCAGAGTAATAATTAATAGCATTCCTTTCATTTCTCAACTGTATCTTGGTTTAACTGACAGGTTATATATGGATACTCTAATTGAACCCATTTATAAAGCATAAGAAGACTGAGTTAAATCTTCTATCCAATGATAGTATAAAAACTTGTAGGCTTAAGCTAAATCAGGTAATCATAAACTAAGCATAGTGTTTGGAGAACAAAAAAAATGAGGATTTTTAGGTTCTTAAATAATTTACTACAGGTTCCTCACTCTGCAGTCTAAAAAGTTGTTCTCTTTTTGTATATTTTTTGGAAAAGAGGGGGCTCCCAAGTGTTACTAAAAGGACTCTCCAATAAAGGTACTAAAAGTTACCAGCCCCACTGGTAACTTTTAAACCAAGTGGGCAGATGGTTTGACGCTAAGGACTATGGGTTCCATGTACTATTAGGGATGCTCTGGCGGTGCTTAAGGGTCTTCAGACCTGAGGGTCACTTGTGCCAGTATCAAACACATGCTAGGTATGGGCCTTCATCTTTGTTCCAATCCTCATACCTCCTTGAAACGTTAATAACTTGCATGATGCTTGGGGACATATTAAGCTTCATTGTTATAAATTCCCCAAGACGCAGATGTATATAATTCCTAAAATATTATGTAGAGCTCTCATATTTCTTAGGTTTATACACATGGCTAAATGCTTATCAAATTGCAGTCACTTTTAATTTCTAACTTCATGGGAATGGAGAGATAGCAGATTTTAAGACACATCATTTGCATATGGCAGACCTGAGTTTGATCCCAAGACCCTCATGGTTCCATGACAATTGCAAGGTGCATCCTGAAGGATCCCCAAACATTGCTGGGTGTCGCCCTGGAGACCTTAAGCACCACTGTGGGAGAGAGGGGCAGGGCACTGAGGAATCTCTAGCACTGCATGAATTGGAGCATGCCACATGATCAGGCCTTATTGGCTGAGAATTGCTGGACGGAACACCCTACTTAAAATTTTTTTGAAACTCATAATTAGTGAAATATAAGTCATTAACAGAATTGTCAAATGTCTGCGTATTTGTTGGGTACCATAAATCCCATGGAATTCCAAAATAAATTAAAAAATTGATAGTAGATTTTTGTCTCCTCCTTGCTATTCAAATTTATGTCTACAAATCTGATAAACAATTAAGAACCCCTTTCAAAAGGTGCACTTTCAAAGGGCCGAGGAGGTAGTTCAATAGGATAGGACACAAGATGCATACAGGAGCCTCAGGCTCTACCTAGGAACCATATGATCCTCAGAACTACCAGGAATGACGCCTGAGCACCTAGCAGGAGTAGCCCTGAGCACCAGTAGGTGTAGTCCCCAAGTTCCCCCAAATGAAAAACTGCACTGTTAGGATGCAAAATATTACAGTCAATCTAAATGGTCAGAATCTTTTACTTAGATTTTCAAATGATCATGTTTCTACAACAAATTAAAAACACTATGAAAAATTCTTATTCTTACCTTTTTGCACAGCTAATGGAATTTTCTGAAGTCTCCAGACTGACCAAGAATCTATTTTCACACTCAGTTTTTCCCTTCTTAATTTTTGCTTTAGTAGGGCGTCTTCAGCTTCTGCCCGGTCAGTTTCTAGGCTTTTAATGAGATGGATGGCCTCAGCTAGCAATGTTTCAATTTCCTTCTTTAATTCTGGACATTTTTCTATTTAAAATAGGAATATAGGGGCCAGAGAGATAGTACAATGAGTAAGGTGTTTGTCTTGCATGCTGCTGACTAGGGTACACCACAGACGGTCCCCTGAGCCTCTCCAGGGACTTAGAGGATATTAGGAAAATTAGACTTTTAAAGTTTTATCATCATAAATAAAATCATAACACCAAATAATAACCTTTGAATATATTTTATAAAATAATTAGAATACTTAAATCTCAAATAATATCTTCATTCATATTACCACCTTTTCAATCAGGGAAAAAAATCACATGTTCTCTTCACAAGCTCTGCTATAGAATTACTTTTTAAATGACATTTGTGTTCTCTTCCTTTCTATGAAAAAAAAAGCTGAACCTAATGATTATTTCAGATAAATACTGAAACTCATCAGATGATTCTTAGAATCAAAACACTATATTCCTTGTTTCTCAGATAATACCCTAGTTTACCTTGCCAGGAAGGCATCATCATTGCTAAATTCCATTTATTGCTGTAGTTAAATTTAACCTTTTTTTTTTTTGACTGGTGCTCAGGGCTTATGCCTGCAAGCCAGGGATTGAACCTGGGTTAGCCAAAAGCAAGATAAGTACCTTGGACTCTAAGTATCTCTAAAAATTTATTTCTTTAATGAAGAGTATTTGTGATTCCTATTTCATGGCTCTGCAATAAAATGCTTTAGTGCTAACAAGATGATTAACTTGGGTTGTTCATTCATCTATTTCTGGAAGAAATGGGTAGAAAGCCTGTTATATTCTAAACATGGTTCTCTTTTGGGATAAAGATTGACTGTAAAAGAGGACAGACATGGGTTCCATTCTGGTGAGATTTAAACTTATGAACAGTGACTTTTGCCAAAAATATGACATCACCAGAAGACATAAAATGCCAAGAGAGAAAAAGTTCCCAAAGAACTGCAACTGGAAGAAAAATCTTAAAATTGGATCAAGAAGAAAAATAATATGTATAGAAATTTACTTTGTTTATTTTTGGACAATAAATTTAATTCTCTACTAGAAGGTGGTATTATATAATTTTAATCATTTATCTATGATTATTATGTTATATAACTACTGTAGTTTAAGTTATAAATTTAAGTTCAGCAGAAAGACTTTCTATTTCTTAGTTGGTTTTCCACCAAAGTGTAGCATGTGGTTTGAAAGGTATTCTTTAGAAAAGGTTTCTCTATTGTAATGTATGAGTAATATTATTTTCTTATCTGATTCTTAATGTGGTCTCTATGTAATCTATTACATATTTTTTCAAATTCTACTACATCCTTATAAGCACACACACATCAATTGTATTTTCCATACAGCTTATTTTCGATTCCATTTATGTAATATTTAAGTCTGAAACAAATGAAATTAATGTCATTTAAAATTAAATCACTTTTTCTTGCATTTTAGGTATATACATATATATATATTATTCATTATGATTTACAAGGTAATTTTATACTATCCCTGTATAACATTAAAATAAATGTTGTGTATTTAACTTGGGGTGCCTCCAATTCACTGTGTTTAATTTCTTTCTCATTTTTGTCTGAGAATAATATCTCAATGAGTTTTACCATTTTATGCCAAGTCAGTGGGCAAGAACCTACAATTTCTTTTAGTGGAAGCACTTAATTACACTAAATCTTTCTCATTCTGATATTGCATTCTGATGTCGTCAAGTATTCAGACTTGTAATTTAAAAAAAACCAATCAACTTAACTATCATTGTGACCACTAATGTACTAATATTTTCCACCAGAATTTTTATATATAAATTAAGGAAGTAATCAATGAAGATATCATCTTTATTGCAAATATAATTAGTGAAGTGGAAAACAGTAAAAATAAAATCTCACGATGAATCACTGCAAATTATGTTTTAATAAACTTCAATATTTGTTGATCCATCATTAAATGAAGGTATTTAAACATGTCTTTGAAGTAAAATGAGAAGGAAGCAACTGAAATAGACTATATTCACATAAACTGGTATAATTTTATCACAAAAAATTTTGTGCTAGTACATACGTTATTTTACACTTAGACATTGTATTAGGACAGTAGTTTTACTTTTTACATATGATACAGCAGTGGCACCCACTGTGGTAAATGTGAGCCACATGTAACTATGTTTAAAAGTAAATAAAAAAGTTAAAAAGGTAAAGGCCCTCCCGTTGATCATCAATTTGCTCAAGTGGGCCCAGTAACGTCTCCATTGGAGACTTTGTTGTTACTGTGTTTGGCATATCGAATACGTCACGGGGAGCTTGCCAGGCTCTGCCGTGCGGGCGAGACACTCTCGGTAGCTTGCCGGGCTCTCCGAGAGGGGCGGAGGAATCGAACTTGGGTCGGCCATGTTGGCCGCTTGTAAGGCGAACGCCCTACTGTTGTGCTATCGTCAAAAGTTAGGCTTAAAAATAAAATTCCTGGTTTCAGAAAGATATCAGGTAAGAAGCTTGTCTTGCATGCAACTGACTTAGGTTTGATCCCCAGCATTAAATATAGTCTCCTGAGCACCATCAGGAGTGACCGCTGAGTGCAGAGCCAGAAATAAGACATGAACACAGCTTGTTATGATCCTAAAACAAAATTAATTAAGTTCCTCAGTCTTCACTACCAAATATCAAGTTCAAAGCTTGACTGTGGCAGAAAATTTGATTTTGGCGGAAAATTCTATTGGCCAGTCAGTCTGAACTACATTTAGTTTCTTGAGAGGTGGGTAGTATTCAACATATACTCAGAATATGGTTTACAATAGTCATTAATATTTACCTAATTAATGTTTAATAACAACTAAGAATCATAAACTTTAAACTTATCTATTGTGAAAATGATAAATATATAAAATAAAAAGTAAATGTGAATGTAAATATCATTACCCTTATCTAAGTATGAAATACAACTTTACCCCTCTCTTCTGGTTTAACCTCTGCCATTTGTGTAACAATACTCCACTCTTCTGAGGGTTTTGTAGAAGAAATTCTGACCCTATATAATAAAAAGAATTGGCCGATTAATAAAAACAGCTGTAGTTACAGTTAATAAAACTAATTTTAGGTAACACTATTTTACTAAATTTTAAATACTGATAGCTAAACTTATACATGCTAATTCTACTATACAGACAATAAATGGAAAAATTTTAAGCAGTAATAAAATTTATTCTTTGTGATAGACACTTGAAATATTGTAATAATCTTAAAATTCTGAGGGGATATTAAATCAAAAGTTATGTAATAAAATTGACTTTTTATGGAGTATTACTATTAGAAAATGGGAGTTTATTTAGATGAGTTAATTCTCTAATATGAGTTTATAAGTTTCTGGGAGACACATATAAGTTTAAAAAATCAAAAATGCATTCTGAATTTGAGGTCAATAATAACACTTTAATTTGAGAAAACATCTAAATTAAAATGTTATTTCTTTTCTAAATTTTTTTTTTCATTAAAATTCCATTATGTGAGATGATGAAATTTCTTATCAGTATTTCAGTGTTCTGGTCTTAAATGTTAGACTATTTTCATTGTACTTAAAAAGAGCTTTTTTTAAAGAAAAGAAATAAAAAGAGCTGTTTTATCTACAGTAAAAACTCAGCAAATTAATAACATATTGTTTAAAAATTTTATTCTTGGGACCAGAGTAATGGTATAGAAAGTAGAGCAGTTGCCTTGCATGCAACTGACCTGGGGTTCGATCTCTGGTATCCCATATTGTGAGTTACCACGGAAAAAGTGGGGGTGCACTCCTGGAACTTGAGGATTCTGTGGCGGAGACTGTTCCCCCGGCCGGCCCATGGATTAAGGACAGGGGGAACAGAGAAACTGGGCCCAGGACTCAAGCTGGTCTATAGACAGTTTATTTCTCTCTCCTCTTCAACGTAGTCCAATCTCTCCCATTACTGCGCAAACATAGCTGTGATTTTGGTCATAGTTCCAGTCGTCATAGTTCCATCATCCTAGTCTCCTCACAGACCTCAAAGTCCTCTCTTTCATTATATCTTTTTCCTAGTCTTGTCATAGTCTCATAGTCCTTTATTTCCAGTCATCATCGTCATCTAGTGCTCCTTCTAGTCATCTCAGACCCTCTAGGTCTCAAAGACCTCAAAGTTCCAAAGTCTGTTCTAGTTATATGAAGGGTGGGGTACATATAGGTGGAGTTAAACATTGTCATAAAAACAGAGTAAAGCTACTCCCTCAAGGGAAGTTCTAGGGGATTATCTCAAGGACAAAAATCTCATCTGAGGATTCAGCATTCTAGATTAGTAGGAGATCCACTCAAGGGCAGGATTCCATCTAGGCTGTATTGCTTTATCATTTCCTCAGCTAGTAATCCATTAAACCAATCACAGTGAATTTACTTCTTATAATATTTCTAGTCATTTTGTATGAACACAGTAAGAGATACATTAAACTTAAAGGTTGGGTCTTCCTGGGGACATCTCACTATATGTTGCAGACCACAGTCCTCATACCAGTTTAGCCTTTCCTAACCCCAGCAGGGTCCTTATTCTGTTACTTCTTTTGGGGTCATGAAAGAATTTGTTCTATGACCATGCTCTTAACTTATTATACTTACAGCACTTAGCTTGTCTCCTTTCGATGCCAGGGAAGCTTACAGCTTGTCCTGGGTCCATCCAGTCCCTTCATCAGGACCCTGTTTATGGAGTGCTAGGAATTACGGGTAGGAATTAAGGACAACTGAGGCTTAAGTCAAGTAAGTATAATGGATGCCCAGGAGAAATACTATTTGGAGTCAATTAACTCCCATGTAACAAAAGCACAGCATCAACTGTCTTCCTGTGTCTACACAAAAAGGACATTGCTAAAAAAAAAAAACCCATTCAAATAACATAAAGGAAAGAGAAAAGCAACATAGGAATTTTAGTGCCTGATGAAATTGGGTGTTCCTCAGGGGTACTGTTGTGGGAGTAACTCAATAAACCTAAGCTCCCTGCAAGAGGATCAAGGGCAACCCAATGTTATCCAACAACATATGGTCCCCCAAGTGATTCCCCTAAACACTGGGAGTGATTCCTGAGTGCAGAGCCAGGAATAAGACCTGAGAATCACTGAGTGTGGTCCAAAGACTGAAAAATAAATACTGTTAAAAAGAAATATAATTTTTTTCATTTATATAAATATTGTAAAATATAAAGTAATACACATAAACTCATCCTTTCAGATATACTGTTATTTAAAATTCTAAGATTGATTATAAGATTTTGTGTGTTTTTTCATTTACACATCATTGTTTTCTGTGTATATTATTATTATTATTTCTAATACTATATTATAGGTATTACTGTTTGTTTCACAATTTGGAAAATCTTAGTAGTTTGAAACTATTCTGGACTAGGAAAAAAAATTTATTCCTTCAAATTTCTTTCAAAAATTTTAATTAATGTCAATTAAAATATTTTATTGCTTTGGTTAAGGTATAATGTTTGCAACCGTGCTTAATGTACAACTAGCAAACCTCACTAGCAGCAAAGTGCCTATGGCGCACCACCAAAATCCTCATGCTATTTCAAGTCCACCTAATAAATCATTGTATTGTTCCTTGCTTCTTGTTTGCTTTTAAAAATAAAAAAGTTCAAGCATCTAGTATTAAATAATGCTTTCCCATTCACTTTTAATACCAATTATATGACAGAGTAAATTAATAAAGGTAATTAGATCTATTTTGTCTACTGTATTATAAAATTCAATTAACTTACCAGCTAAAATTCTGTTTTAATTCTCAAATTTTTATTGAGTATTTAGCATAAAGTTAACAACTTGGAAGTACTAATTTGAGTGGCTTTAAAAATATTGAATGTAATGTGATCATAACCTTCCTAGTTTTAAAAAAAATTATATTACCTCTAAAGAAAAGCCTGTATTATCAAATAATTTTCCTTCTTTCCTTACCCACCATCTCCTGCCACCAACTACTTTCTTTCTCTTTTCTATGGATTTACCTATTATTAATTTCTACATAAACAGTAAAAATAAATGACCTTTTAATTCTGGCTTCTGTAACTTAGCATAATATTTATAATTTATTTATATTATAATATTATCGAATTTCCACCATGATAGTTACAAAATATAGCATTGTATGACTACAGCACCCTTCCATGTATCAATCCACTGAATATTTGAGATTATTTGCAATTTTCAAATATCATAAATATTGATAATGTACACAGTTGCTTACAAGTTATTACAAGAATATCTGTTTTAAGTTGTGAAGTATAACCATAAAATTTATGGGTTATATACTAATTCTATGCTTTTTGTGTTTTGCAAGTTCCCTTCAATTCTGTATTTTCATTACAGAAAAAAAGGTACTGGGTTTTGTCCTATGCTTCCAACATCACTTGAGACATTCACATGGATTTCCCTTCTTCCGTTTATTAAAGTGATGCAGTATACTAAGAGTTTTACAAAGGCTGAGCCACATTTTAATGCTTGAAATAAATCTCAACTATTCATAACAGCTAGCTTATTAAAATGCTTGCAGATAATTTGTGGAGGATATTATTGGAGTCTCCATTTTCTCGTGATGTTTTTATCTAGATTTAGTTTCAGGATAATGCTGTCCTCATAGAATGATCGAAGAATTACACGTTTTTCTTATACCGTGAAAAAGTTTTAGAAATATTAGCTTTAATTCTTTAACCATTTTTCAATACTTAATAGAACTTCACCGGTAAACCAATTAGTTAGGGACTTTTCTTCAAACTTTTTTTTTTTATTACTGATGCCATCTCTTTACTCCTTACAGATATATTATGATTTTCTACTTTATCTGGAATCAGTTTTGGATGTGTCCTTGGAAATTTGTCTACTTCATCCTGACCATAAAATTTGTCACCAGACAAATGCCTTTTGTTTGTTTGTTGTGTGTGTTTGCTCATTTGTTTTTTTGGCGAGTTCCTGCAGGAAGCATCAGATCACTGACTTGTTGACTCTCAAAGCTACTTATGCAGCCACATTCTTCTTAGTGAAGAAAGCTACCCTTAGTCTCTTTAAACTGTTTCATTTTGTTTTGTTTTATTCTCATGGATGCAGATTCTGTCCTCTTCCACCTGCTCATCTCTTTTCAACTGGATTAGTTTTCTTTGTCTATTCATCAATATTGTATCCTTAGATTACATACATAAGTGAAATAACCCACAATTTATCGTTTTTTTCTTTATTTATTTTACTCTGAAAATTACCCTCAGGTTCTTTCCATTTTACAAATGTCAAATTTCTCTGTTCATAGTTGAATAGTGTCCCATTGTATGTATGTACCATATCTTATTATTTGTTTGGATGGGTTGCGGAGTTGGTTTGGGGGTCACACCCAGCTGTACTCATGGGTTAATTCTGAATGCATTCAATGATCATCCCTGCAGTGCTCAGGGGACCATATGTGGTGCTAGGGATTAAACCTGGGTCAGTTACGTGAAAGGCTAGTAACCTACACTTGTACTACCACTCTGGCCTCATTGAAATTTAATAGAAGCATAGATATAAGCATTTCATATTTGGGATGTTTTCAGCCATTTTTTCTGCAACCTTATTACCCCTTTTCCTTTTTGCCTTCGCTCTTGTATCCATTAGGGGTATAAAAGTATTCCTAGTGTGAGCATGAAACTGATGCCATGACAAGCTGCAGCCAACATTAAGTCTCAACTAGGCCTCAGTTTCTGTTTTCCCAAAGCAGGGCTTGCAGTTTCTGGTAAACTCCTAGTAGAGTAATTTGCCACGATAAGGAATTGAGTAATTGGGTCTGGCCAGTCACGAAGCATCACTGTACCTTCCTTAGAAACTGTTGCTAACCATTGCCTAATTGCTGACCACCATTGTAATAGGGCCAATTCTCAAGATAGATCAGTATATAAATTGCCTCTTAACTCTGACTCCTCTATAAACTGCTTGTGATTTGAGTCAGGGTCCTTGTCAAGACTCCACTGTGTTGGATGAGACTTGGACACTAGCTCGGGCTAGTGCTGGCTCAGGCTAGTAATAAAGTTCCTTTGCTTTTGCATTATCATGTGTGAACTTGGTCTCTCCACAATTGGGGATCTGAAACTCGGGCACAACACTAAGACTTATTAAGCTTTGTTCATTTTTCTTTTTTTTTTGTTACTCTACTTCTCATAGTCATAAGCTTGAACATTCTGTTAACCAATTTTAAGTCTGCTGACATTTTTCTATGACTGAACTACTTGTTGATGAATATACTTAGGTTTTTTTAACTTCAGTAATTGTAAAATAAATAGCAATAACACAGCGGTAAGGTGTTTGCCTTGTACACAGCCAACATGGCCTACCCGAGTTCGATTCCTCCACCCCTCTTGGAGAGCCCGGCAAGCTACCGAGAGTATCTCGCCTGCACGGCAGAGCCTGGCAAGCTACCCATGACGTACTCAATATGCCAAACACAGTAACAACAAGTCTCAGGATGGGGATGGTAGTGGGCCCGCTCGAGCAAATTGATGAACAATGGGAGGACCGTGACCATTTTAATCTCCAGAATATCTCTTGCTTCTGTTTTATAAGTTTTTTCTCCTTCTTGGAAATCTATGAAGACTGGGATATCAGTCTCCTGATTTGGCTTAGTTTTTAGTCCCTTCTTTATTTGATCTTTTTTTATTTAAAAGAGTTGGCTTAAAGTCTTTGTCAAACAAGTCAAGTACGTAGGCTCTCTAGGGTTATTTTTCCTTTACTATAGGGACAAAAATAGTTTGTCTACTTCAGAATAATTCTTATAGTATAGCTGCATTTTAAAATATGAAATGGAAATAATATATTACTTTTACTGAGTTCATTGTTGCTATGCAGGGGTAGAGAAACATTTTTTTGACCAAGGGCCACTAATATATTTGACATAATTCGTAGGTCATATCATGTAAGCACATGGGTTACATGCACCCATCAAGAAGAATATGTGTCTGCCTGATCAGATACCAGGGTCAGACCACATGATTTCGGAGGCTCTGTGCAGACCTGGGCTGGAAGATCCCTACCCCTGCTGTACTGGGTAGTTGCCATTTGTTTGGTTATCTTCTAAATCCTTTTTATATTATATGTATTCTATACCAAGTGTAGTCACCAAAGTGTTTTGCTTTACTATTTTTCACTTTTACTACTAGAGTTTCTCCAATAGGTATCTCTGGACAAAGAAAAGAATAAAGGAAAAGAAAATACATTTTTCAACTGTTGCAGAGTGGCTGTTTTGCAGAATTATTTCAGTGCTTTTCCAAGCTGTTTATACCTTTTACCCTACCTTAAGTACTTGACTTTGTAAATCCTAAAAGTAAGCTAGAGGCAAAAAAAATGTTGCAAAGAAAAATGTTCTTCTCAAGTCTTTTCTGACAATGTGTCCAGCATTGGTTATGTGTGTATGTTTTGATTTTGTAGCATTGCTAAGAACATTGAAAAACCTTGCTCTTCCAGGCTTCTTTCCAACCTCTTTCTTAGCAGTATTTTGGTTCCTGCTACTTGTCTTGACTATTACCTATTACTTCAGATAGTGCTGGCGAGTGTATTCCTTTAAATGCTTTTCACAAACACAGAAAGGCACAGCTCTGTAACTGCCGCAAGTCAGGCAAATATAAGCCTTTATGCCAAACCTTAAAGAAGCTGCTATGCAGGTCAAAAAAGTAAACCAAATTTCTTTGAAAATAAGATTCCCGTTGTTCCTTTGACACTACAAGTGCTGACTGCAATCTTCATCACCACCATTGATCTGTAAACTGGAGAAATAGCAGCAAGTAAGTAACTTAAATGCAACAGACTTCCCTGTAAAGCAGCGGAATCATTTCCATTTTTTTCTTGGTTGTTGTAAAATTTCTATAAGATTCATACATATATAGATAGATGTATATGTTTTATTGTCTTCGCATATATAAAATTTTGGCACAACATGCAATGGTACTCAGTTCTTGGGGGGACCATATGGTGCCATGATTGAAACCAGACCTGCGACATGCAAAGCATGTGTTTCAGCTTGCCTGTTGAACTAGCTCTCCAGTTGTAGACTCCGTATTTCTGAAAGAGTTGATTTTTAACAATTGTTTTCAACTTTATGGTTATTTTTATGATTAGTCAGAGTCCTAAGGATCTTTACTCTGCCACTTTCTTTGAAATTCTCATATGAAAAATCCTGCCCTCAATTTATTTTTCCTTTGAAATAAAACTTATGTGCAGAAGATTAAACTTGAACACGAAAATGGCAATAGACAATGCATAAAGATGCTTACCATTCTTCCAAAGCAGTTTCAAACTATAAGATTAAAAAAAAAACTCAGTGAAAAACAAATTTTAAACATCCTCAAAAACAGTAGAAAACTAACATTACACTCAAAATCACAAATGATACTGTAAATTCTTCACATATACCACTAGTTTTTTCAAATTTTATTCTCTGTTGTCACCAAATAAGGATATACTTCCCCCTACTTATTTTGATGTTATTTTATAATTACTTTCACTTAATTATTCTTATCATTCGTTTCTAAAACTTAACCATTCATTATAGAACATTTCAAGCATTACTACTACAAAGAAACTCTCCACACAATCAGAACACATATATAGTCCATGAACCTTAATATTTTAACAGTGTCAAACAATTTCATATGAATTCACCAACATTTTTGTGAGTTCTCTCTTCTCATATCTCCCTCTTCTGTTTGCCTCCACATTCTATCTCCTCTCTCTCTCTCACACACACACGCAAACACATACACAAACACACACACAAACACACAGACACATACACCCCACACCTAAGTTTTCCAGGGATCAAGAAAGATATCTCAATAGGCTGGAGTGCATCACTGCCAGGCACTGGGCTCTAAGGTCAAAACCCAGGACCGCCTGGCCTCTCCAGTATAACCAGGTGTCCATAATGGGTTTCATCATTGCTCAAGAAACCCACCAACATTCTCCTCTACTGTTATAGCTCTTCTAGATGGTAAGCTTCTAAGAGATATGTTTTACAGATAAATTACACAATGCTTTGGGCTATAAAGAGTATAAGCTACCCAAAGTGCAAATAATATTTAGCAAGAAGGTAATAGATTTTGCAGATAATTTGAAATTCAAGATTCCAGACTGGGTACAAATGATTACTTCTCTTCAATTCCCTTATATCAAAATTTGGAGAAAAATAATGTAAACTAATAAATCAAAAATATTTGTCAATAAAATCAGTGAAACATGAAACATATAACTATCAGAAATATAAAGTAATAAGATTATGACAGTGAAAACATCCAAGAATACTGTAATTCAGAAAAGACAAGTGAAGATCATTTTATTGAAGATGAAATACTTCTCAACTGAATTCACGAGGAATTCCATTATGTGAGAATAAATTATTGAAGGGTTGCCTGCTATGAGATGCGAAAGTATACTTACTTTCTACCCCAAGGATTCAAAATATATGGCTGAGAAGTTGCTTTATGTCATTAAAGAGATTGTCTAGACATATTGGAAATCTCTCTAAGACAGAAAGTTAACTAAGAATGGAAATCTGTTTCTAGAGAGAAACTATGCAGAGCCTAATATCTAGTAGAATTTCACATGTAAAAAGACTGGTATCTGAAGAAAATTAAAATGAAAATTGTCACAAAATGAAATAGTCCAAGATGTTAAACAGGTATATGGAAACAGCCAGCTTTCTTGTTTAAATACATTGACTCCCATTTACAAAGAATCCTGGTTTAAATATATGTTCACATACATATGTTTTATGAATATTGACATACAAATTTGCTGTGTAAGAAGACTATGACACCTGGAAAAATTTGCAAACAACAGTAACAAAACCAACAAAAAAGTAATGTCAATTATCAATTATCAATCTTTTCCATGACCATTTATGAATATCTGTGGCTCAATATTTTCCTCCTTTATATTTCAGTTTGATATTGGATCTATTTAATTCCATGAAGGGAGCAATGAAGGAGAGGCAGCCAATTCCATGGTGGTTTTGCTCCGCATGTTCTGATTCTCTGATTCTCGATTTTCTGACTCCCCTGTTCAGCCTTTTGCCTTTGCAGCCCCAAGAAAGTGGGAGGAGTTTCCCGCAGGGGATTGTGGGAAACTCATTCAGACTGTGCATCTGAATGTTCAGGGTAGCAGAGTGCTGTTACCCGATTCTTAACAGTGATAGTGCAACCAGATCAACCCAGGCAGTGCTTGGGGGTGTCACCAGGGCCACACCCAGCTATGTTCGGGTGAGGGCACGCAGTGCCTGGGATGGAACTTGGAACCTAGGAAATGCAAAGTATGTCATTCCAACCCTTTGAGCTCCCACTCCAGCTTCCACACACACACCTTGAGGAAGGCAGCACTCTAGACAGAACTTTATGATTCAGTAACAGTGGGAAAGGGGGAGTAAGCGCAGCTCTCCAGGAAACCTACCCTCTTGTTGGTTTTCTTGTTGTTGTTGCTAAGGTTTTTGTTTAAGTGCATAAGGCAAATGCCCTATGTATTAACATTCTGGGATCACTCATTCCCTTATTTGGACAGTTTAATTATGCATTGATTTTTCAGAAATATAATCTTAAAAGACTTAACGTTTTTATCCTTTCTAACATCTTTTGAACACAATTGAAAGTTACAGTAATTTCAACATTAGTCTCCTTTCAGAATACTAAAAAAGCCAACATCAGTAGAGTAAAAAGAAAAAGACAATTATATTTTCTTCCTCCTTTTTGTTTGTTTCATTTGGGGTTTGGGGGGTCACAATTAGCAGTGTTCAGGGCTTACTCCTGGCTCTCCTCTCAGGGATCACTCCTGGGGAGCTCAGCAGACCATATGGGACGTCAGGGATAGAACCAAGGCAGCCTGTTGTGTAAGGCAATTTTCCTATCCACTGTTTTATCACTATGACCCTGACAGTCATATTTTCTCTCAACGGGCACACTTTGTACTTCTTTAGGACAAAATAATTCATTAATGAAGGCATTATGTCCTTTTATACACCAATTAACTCATTTAATCACCTAATCAGTTAAGTGTTCCCAAAAATGATGTAAAAACTATTTAATATACTAGTCAAGTTGGCTTGTGAAAATTACTACTTACCATGATTGACTCCAGATAAAGAATAAACAGGTAGAGGGTAAAATTTATTTAATAAGATCGTTTCAGCCTTCTGAAGAGATACTATCAAAAACATATCTAGATTAGTAAATTATGCAACTAAAAAAAGAATCTATAGTCTTACTAATGGCATAAAAATTACTTCCATGTTAAGTAATAGACCTTCATACACTCTATAAGAATGTTAAAAAATCATTAACATTTTAATATCACTTACTCTTTTCAAATGTTCCTGTATTTTAAATTCCAGACCATCAATATTTGAAATAATTTTGTTGACACATGGTGCTGGGGTGATTGTTAATGCACAGCTGCGACGTCGACATGGGTAGCCAAAATAAATGTCTTTATTTGCCACTTAAAATAAAGCAAATAAATCTAGTTAGTCACTGTAGAGCAGTAAGCCTTTATATTTAGATTAGATCGCTGGAGCGATAGCACAGTGGTAGGGCGTTTGCCTTGCATGCAGCCAACATGGCCAGCCCGAGTTCGATTCCTCTGCCCCTCTCGGAGAGCCCGGCAAGCTACCGAGAGTATCTTGCCCACATGGCAGAGCCTGGCAAGCTCCCCGTGATGTATTCGATATGCCAGACACAATAACAACAAAGTCTCCAATGGAGACGTTACTGGGCCTGCTCGAGCAAATATTTAGATTAGCCAAAATTAGTCTCCTTTGTTAAAATTAAAACTCCAATTTTTTTTCTCTTGTTGTGGGACCATACCTGCTGGTTCTTAGGTCTTAGTCCCTGCTCTCTGCTAAGAGATCACCATTGACATTGACAGGGCTTGGGGTGGGTGGTCCATATGGGCTGCAAGGGAATTGAATCTGGATCAGCAGTGCACAGGGCACTATTTTAATTGCTGTACTATCCCTACTGCCCCACTCCTAAACTTTCTTTAAAAAACATAGTGATAAAATAGAGGCATATAGACTGAAGCTTAAAACAATCTTAAAGTAAAATAAAATGCTCACACATCACTTAAAATTTCACAAAAAATATGAATCAAAGTAAGAAGAATAAAAATCTTAAAGTAAAAATAATAATGTCCCATAGTATGAGGAACTGGTAGAAAGCGGCCACACCATGCATCATAAGACACTTATTACCCATCTTACAGGATTGCTGCACCATATTTGATAGAGTTCACATATGGTTTGAACCATTGGAACACCTGCAAGGATGATTAGAAGCCGCCCTAAAAGCCTCTATCCCTCTCAGAGAGCCTGGAAAGCTACCAAGACTATCCCGCCCGCATGGCAGAGCCTGGCAAGCTATGCGTGGCGTATTCAACATGCCAAAACCAGTAAATACAATGGGACTCATTCCCCTGATGCTGAAAGAGCCATCAATACGGCAACGTTAAGAAAGATGAGAAAGGAGAGGCTGATAAAATCTCAAGGCAGAACAAGGCTGCCAAAACGAAGAAAGACAAAAATGACTCTACTTTCAATGCACGTCTACTGGCATCAGATTCATTCATTGAGGACCTGATGGTACAAGCGTGAAAGATCAAGTATGACATCATTTGTGTGACCAAGAGAAGAAGGCATCAAACACATCACGCCAATTTTCGACAGTGGAGAAGAACTGCTCCTCAGAACATGTGACAAAAGAGGCGTCGGAAGTGTCGATGTCCTTGTCAACATGAACTTGGCTATGAGCATTGATTCATGCGAATACCTAACAACTCGAATCAGATGATTACACTTGAATAGATGTGGCTCAACGCTGGCAGTTTCTATCTTCACTGTGTACGCACCAACATCCAATTATGATGAAGGTGAAATTGAAAAGTTCTACTTGGAGCTGGGGAAGTTGTATAAAGAAGACCAAAATTTCTACAAAATCATTGTCGGTGATTTTAATGCCAAGATAAGACCGAGAAGATCAGCCGAAGAACTCCACACAGGGACCCATGGCCTAGAATGGAACGAACAGGGTGACAGACTGTCTGAGTTCATCATGTAGACCAAGACCTTCCATGGTAACTCACAGTTCCAGAAGGCCAAATCTAAACGTTGGACTTAAGAGTCTCCCGGTGGACGGTTCCACAATGGAATTGACCACATCATATTCAATCGATGATTTTGCCTGACTGATGTCACTGTTGTCCGAAAATTCCAAACGGGATAGGACAACTGTCTCCTATATGCAAAATTCTACTTCACGGACCGAGGAGAAAGAGCTGCAAAGTTTAAGAAGAGAACTCCCAGAACGACCACCAACTGGGAGCTCTTTGGCACTATTGCAGCAACATGAAAGATGTTGTCTTTGACAACATTGAAATGGAATAAGATCAACTTATTCAGCACCTCCATGATTGTGCAAGGAATTCCAAGAGAGAGATATCCACAAAAAAATGCCTGTCCTCAAAAACTCTTGAGCCTATTCACCAACATGGCATGGCACAAACCTCGGGAAACTGCAATCCAATGTCCGAGCTCATAAAGTAGTGCAGAGAAGCGATAAAGGAAGACCTCAAAGAGAGAAGGGCAGCAGTGCTGGTAGATGTGGCGGAAGGCAGGAAAAGCATTCACAATGCCCACATGTCCTTCGCCAACTACAAGACCAAGATGACTGCCCTCCAACGTCCTGATCGATCTCTCAAATCTTTCAGAAGGGCAATGGAGAAGATTATCCATGGCTTCTACTCGATAGCCACATCCACTAGCCCACATACCAAATTCCGTAGGATGGATATGTCATTCCCAAAGTTCTCCCTTCCAAAATTCAATACGCCATTTTGTTGGTAAATAAGCAAACTGCACCTGGCCCAGACAAGGTCAGACCCAAAAACCTAAAGAACCTGCTGTCAGTACTCATCAATACGCTGGCTCGGCTCTTCACATGCTACCTGTCTGAATGCAATATTCTGTTTCAATGGGAAACCAGCAGGACTGTGCTACTGTACAAGAAGGGAGATATCCATGACATTGTCAGCTATCGCCCAATCTGCCTGTTGTCCGTCATCTACAAGCTGTTCACTCAAGTCATCCTGAAGAGGACTGGCAGAAGACTAGATGAAGGACAACCACGCTAGCAAGCTGGGTTCCGCAAAGGATTCAGCATGATCATCCATATCTACGTGATAATCAAGCTCATTGAGGTTTCTCAGGAGTTCAAGATACTTCTCTGTTTAATGTTCATTGATTTAAAGAGTCTCTTGAGACTAAAGCAGTCATCGAAGCCCTAGCCAAACAGGGCATTCAAACTCAATACATCAGGATCCTCCTTGAGCTGTATTACGGATTCACTACCAGGATGTCACCATTCTACAAAGAAGTGATCATCCATGTCAAGAGAGGGGTTCAACAGGGTGATACCATTTCACCGAAATTCTTCAGAGCCACCCTCGAGACATCATGTGACGACTGGAATGGGAAGGAATGGGAGTGAAGATAGATGGTCGGCAACTACACCACCTCCACTTTACTGATGACATTGTTCTAATAGCACCAAACATTAGCCAAGTGGCACAAATGCTGTCTGACTTTGACCGTGAGTGTGGATAGGTCGGACTCCAGCTGAATCTGCAAAGACAATGTTTATAAGAAATGGTCTCATTCCTAATGTTCCATTTGCTCTCAATGAAACAAATATCTCCAAATGCAACAGTTATGTGTACCTAGGTCGAGAAGTCAACATGACAAATGACCTGGCACCTGAATTGCGAAGGAGGAAGAGATCGGCTTAGAACGCCTTCAAGAGCGTCAAAGAAATAGCTAAGAGGATGAAGAACCTCCGGCTCTGAGCACATCTCTTCAATTCCACTGTTCTTCCTGTGTTAACATATGCCTCAGAGACCTGGGCCCTACGCAAACAGGATGAGAACGCTATTGCGGGTCTCCCAAAGAGGAATCGAATGAGCTCTGCTTGGAGTAACACACTTAACTCAAATGAGAGAAAGAATCTGTAGTTCTCACCTCCGTCAATGGTCAAGAATCAGTGATTCTGTCTCCTTTGCCAAGGCGTCGAAAATCAGATGGGCTGGACATGTAATGAGATTTCGACATGACTGCTGGACTAGAGCTGTTACCAACTGGATTGCACAGGACTTCAAAAGATCATGCGGCCGCCCACCTATGAGATGGTCAGACTTCTTTGTCAAGACCCTGAACGATTGGTTTGAAGCTCTTTGTGTTCCTAGAATGAGCAGGCGCCATTGGGCTACACTAGCACATGACAGGGACAAATGTAGACATTATTGATGCCTGCTCAAGCAAATCAATGAGTAACGGGATGTAAAGTGATCAAGTGATCAAGTGAAGAGGAACCACACATTGGAAAAATAAGACAAAAAGAAAAAAGAAAGGCACAAAATCAGCTAGCCTTTTTGTTTCTATCTAGATCCTAAATCACTTAAAAATTACCCTATGGGGGCTGGAGAGATAGCACAGTGGGTAGGGTATTTGCTTTGCACACGGCCAACCCGGGTTTGATTCCCAGCATTCTATATGGTCCCCTGAGCACCGCCAGGAGTAACTCCTGAGTGCAGAGCCAGGAGTAATCCCTGTGCATCGCCGGGTGTGACCCAAAAAGCAAAAAAAAAAAAAATTACCCCGAGGAGCTGGAGAGATAGCAAAGCATGTAAGGCAGTTGGATCCCCAACACCACCGATGGTTCCCTGAACCCTACCAGGAGTGATCTCTGAGCCAAAAATCAGGAATAAACCTTGAACAAAATGAGGAATATCATTCTTCCTCCAAAACAATCAACATTTACCCTTAAATATATTTTTAAATTCTCTCTTCAAAGAGTCACAACTGCCAAGGTAAATATTATTCGACCATTGGTGCACTGAGAAAACTCTTCTTTAAATCCAGTAGTTCTCTTATTGAAAAATAAATAAATAAAGTAAGTAGGTCCCCTTCACCCTCTGAATAACCTCAATTTCTGACTTTCATTTCTGAAAATTAGAGTCTTATATGAAGAGTGATTGATGTTCTCACTGTAACATTCAAGTTGTGCTCATCATAAAATCCACTCAGACTGATGTGCCTCAGTGATTCTAATCCTGGCATGTTCCAAATAGGCTGAAGGTTGCAGAAGCACAGAAAACTTGTTCATGAAACTCTACCAAAGTGCTTACTTTCAGTCTTTTGTCTGTAAGGACTCAATTGGGCAAGATTCACTAAAAACAGACAAAAAAGACTCAGCACCTCAATGAGAACAATGAGATGAATTCATTTAGTTGACCTTGAGTAATGCTGTTGCCTCCAAACTGTGTCTTCTATTTCAATACCAAACCCACAGAGTAATATTTTCATGTAAACAGTATTTTTAAAATATCTTTTGATTGAATTAATGTCTTCCTCCAAAAATACAATGTTGTGAAAATTTTGTTTATGAATAAAAATTTGTTCACCCCGTCTATATGAATACATAAATATGTATGTTTATATTCTGAATAACATATTTGTATACTAAAATATGCACCAAATATAAGATTGTTCTAAGCACTTTTGTGTCATATTTTATTTAAATATCATAACAATCTTATAAAATAAGATAATTATCCTGGTTTTATAATTGAGGAAAATAAGGCTTAACTAAGTTAGACAGATGTTAGGGAGGTAGTACATCAGTGAAGTGTTTGATCTGCACTCCACTGACCAGGGTTCAATCTCCAGCACTGAATATGGTCCCCCAAGCACCACCAGAAGTGACCACTGTGCACAGAGTCAAGAGAATGCTATAAGCACCACTGGATAAGGACTAAAATCTTACATAACTTGTCCAAGTCCACAGAGCTGGTAGGGGAGAGTGCTGGAACTTGAACTATATGTAAACATGTAAGCTCTATTGTGACAGCTCTTCATATATTTTTAAAGTGGCAAAATAAAGAAAAACATTCTTGAAAATATATTTCAGGACACCTCAAATGTTTCACATATCACCAGTTTGTAAAATTTGAATATTCCCTTATGATATATCAATGTTAATATTTTAATGGATCTTAGTTGCCTTTAATTAGACTTTGAACTTATACTGCTGTAGCTGTTTTGTGTGTATGATAGTTTATTTGTTCTCTTTATCTTATATGCAGATTAAACTTTCATCTTTGTAATTATCAAAGGACCAAAGTACTAACTGGTAAATCTTGCATATTGATCTCTTATTTAAACATCTTGAAAGGGCGTGTTACCATTCTCTCTCAAAACATTTGTTTCGCCACAATAATTTGTGCATAATTCTGTATGGAATGGGGTGAATATAAATGAGTTAACAATTTTCCTTATATACCATTTTAATCTATTATGTAAATATTAACATTTTAATATTTTTTAAATCTATTATATAAATGCTAATTTTCTATGATGTAGAATTAATACTTTAATATCATAAAGTAGGGGCAATGAAATAATATGAAGTTAAAACTTTTGATAAAAGTCTAAAATACATGACATTATGAGTTACATAAGAGAGAACTATAATTAAGTTATTATTAGTTTCATTCTATTATATGCATGGCATAAGTTAGAAGTTTTCTTTCCAAATTTCTTTTAATTTGACCCATTTTTAAAAAATAACAGATTGTTAAACTAGGTTTGTAGGTTGACTATTTTGGGAATTAAAATCTTGCTTCATTTATCATTAGGACTTACTGTTATTACTCACAACTCTGAAAATATTTGTTGTCCAAAGAAGCATTTATCCTGCATTTATCCTTGGGACATCTCTGCTATTACTCTGTATCTGTGCTTCTTAGCCTTACTTCAATTATGATCCCTTCCAATCTTTTTTCCTTCCTGTGGTCTTTCTTTTCTACCAGTTAACTCTTCAGTCTCATGTCATGGACTGCATTTGTGTGATTTTCAATGTTGCCTCCTAGAAATATCCCAGAGGCCCACAAGTGAGACAGATAGGCCCTCATTTAGAAATGGTCTTCTATTAGCCATTATTTTCTGTTGTTCTGCTAACTGGTCTGTAGTTTTTTTTCTTTTTCTATAAAATTATACAATCCATGTAAATATCTTTCTCTTAAAAGATCTGCATCATAATGGTATGTGTATAATCCAATGTCTTTCATTAGTTGATTCATATTTTTATGAGTTGATATTTTTTAAAAAGTGTTCAAAACTAATAAATGGTCATTATTTATTTGCAGGCAATAAATTCTAAGTCCAGATATTAATGTGATTAGCACAGCGGGTAGGGCATTCGCCTTACAAGCGGCCAACATGGCCGACCCGAGTTCGATTCCTCCGCCCCTCTCGGAGAGCCCGGCAAGCTACCGAGAGTATTCGATATGCTAGACACAGTAACAACAAAGTCTCCAATGGAGACGTTACTGGGCCCGCTCGAGCAAATCGATGATCAACGGGAGGGCCTTTACCTTTACCATTAATTACATTTAGGGTTTCTTTCTTAGTGAAATATAATACTGATGCCACAAAATAATAATTAAACATATTGCATTTATAAGTTATTCATAATTTATAATAAGTTCTCACCTTCAGTGTTTGTCATTTTATTTTCATAAATAATCTCAACAGCTTCCTGAGGGCCCTTATATGGGACCAGTGCTTGTGATGCTGCATTATCTTTTGAAGAAAAAAAAATTTCAGTGAGCAGTTAGTTACAAAATCATGTACAAAATCATATTATAAAAGTCCTATCCTTAAAAAAAACTATAATACAAATATTAAACTAAACCCTCCATGCAATATTTTCATATGTCCTCTCTGTTATCTTTGCCTAACTCTCACATGATGATAGTCAAAGAGAATGCAACTTCCAGAGAAATGTCACCAGAACAATAGAGTAGAAGGTCTCAGCCTTATTCCACAACATAACAAACATTATACAGCTATTGACAACAAAATTAGCTCTGGGAGGGCTTGGAATCCAATGGAGAAACTTCAGCAGTAGAGTAAAAGAAAAACTTGAGATACACTGCACAGAAAGTATGAAAGACAGCTTAATTTTTCTTGCATCATCCATTGTGCTAGGTTGATACTGCTCAATTGTCAAGTGGTAACGCTAGCCCAAAATGTTCCCCTCACTAGAAAAGATAAAGAACTATGGTGTCATCAGTTTCTCCACCCGTTGGGGGCATGGCATAGAGAACTTGCTTCAATTTTACTCTATCTAAAGACAGGTAGGCTAAGTGATGTACATAAATGGCTTGGAAAAATGAAGAAGAGAAACAAAGACCCAGCAATGTGCCATTACAAGAGCATTATTACAACTTCAAAAACACACACACAAACTCAATTTGAATGGACAACAAAAAAGATACTTCACTCAAACAAAAACAAAAGGAGTCATAAAGAGGTATAGTAATATCAGACAAAGAAGTATCATATAAATAGCATTAAAATACTAAAATACTAAACATAAGCTTAAACATGGAGGGAAAAATTCTATGCACCAAGAAGGACAAATATATAAGAGATCTTAAAGAATACAAAAATAGATATATATAGTATTTTAATTGACTCAGAAGAGTATATATAAATTAAGCATTCACTGGATAATCCCTATCAAAATTGTGATAGAATTTTTAACATAAATAGAAAAAATATTCTTAAAATATTTATGCACTATAGAAAATACTAAAATGGTAAAACAATCTTGAGAAAAAAGAAAGCTAAATGTATTATATTTTTTATTTCAAACTATATGAGAATTTAATAAACAAAACATGATATGAGCATTAAAAATAGAAACTTAGGGCTGGAGTGATAGCACAGCGGGTAGGGCGTTTGCCTTGCACGCAGCCAACATGACTGACACAGGTTCGATTCCCAGCACCCCATATGGTCCCCCGAGCACCACCAGGAGCAATTCCTGAGTGCATGAGCCAGGAGTAACCCCTGAGCATCGCCGGGTGTGACCCAAAAAGAAAAAAAAAGCCAAAAAAAATAGAAACTTATTAAATTAGAATACAAAAATAATCCATTTCTACACAGTTTAATGATATTTTAGAAAGAAAGAAGACTATTTCTTTATTCTGAGTATTCAAACACAAAGGAATAAAATGGGTTCCTATATTATACTGTAGCACTGTAGCACTGTCCTCCCGTTGTTCATTGATTTGCTCGAGCAGGCCCAGTAACATCTCCATTGTGAGACTTGTTGTTACTGTGTTTGGCATAATGAATATGTCGCGGGCAGTTTGCCAGGCTTTGCTGTGAGGGCGAGATACTCTCGGTAGCTTGCCAGTATCTCCAAGAGGGGCAGAGGAATCAAACCCGGGTTGACCAGGCCAGCTGTGTGCAAGGCAAATGCCCTATTGCTGTCCTATCATTCACAAAAATGAATTTATAATGAATTATCATTCACAAAAATGAATTTATAATAGATTAAGTACTTAGAAAGATATATGTTACCTAAAACCATAAAACTCATAGACAAAAAATATATGGAGAAGAGCTCTTTAATTCTGGCCTTCTTAAGGAACTTTTGGATAAGATCCCAAAGCAGAAGCAACAAAAGCTCTAAGGAACATAAGGGTGCAAATGTCTTTTCTCCTTCGGTTATATTCCAAGAAGTCCAATTGCTGGGTCAAATGGAAGCTTAGTCCCTTGTTTTCTGAGGAATGCCCATACAGTTTTCCAGAAAGACTGGACTAGTAGACATTCCACCATCAGTGAGGGCACCCTGTAAAATCCCCACATCCATGCCAACACAGGTTGTTCTTAGTCTTTTTGATGTTTTCCAGTTTCTGTGAGGTAAGGCCATATCTCATTCTTGTTTTGATTTGCATTTCCCAGATTGGTGATGCAGAACATTTTTTCATATACATCTTTGAGGAAGTTTCTATTTATCCCCCCCACCCGCCCTTTTTGGTATAGTTCTATCAGTGCTTTGTATTTTTTGGATATTAACCCTTTATCAGATGAGGGATAGATAAATGATTTCTCTTAGTCTGTGGACTGTCTTTGAATTTTGATCACCACTTCTTTTGAGGTGCAGAAATTTCTTAATTTGTTTATCTTGGTTTCCATTCTTTAGCTGATAGTGTTGACTTCTCAAAGATGCATGTAGCTCTTATATCGTGATGTTCTGCCTATGATTTCCTCAGGTAAATTATGGATTCAGTCTGATATCAGGGTCTTTAATTCATCTTTATTTGACTTTTGTGCATGCTACTTGATAGGGGTCTGAGCTTATTGTTTTGCATGAGGTTGATCCAACAGTTTTCCCAATACAGTTCTTGAAGGGCATTTCCTTGTTCCATCTCATAATTTTTGTTCCTTTATAAAAGATTATCTCTCCATATATCTGAGGATCCATTTCTATATTTTCAATTCTATTACACAAATCTGAGTCTGTGCTCTATAAAGAAAACTATGGTACATATACACGGCGAACCTCTTGGCCATATTAAAAAAAAGAAAATCACACAATTTACTGCTACGTGGATGGATCTGAAGAGTATTGTACTGAGTGAAGTTAGAGTGAGAAAGTCCAACACAGAATGATCTCTCAGATGTGGAATATAAAGAGACGTAATTGTGTGTGTGTGTGTGGGGGGGGGGAGGATGCCCAGAGGCAGTGCAAACAAAAAAAAGTGAAATTTGGTATTTGGTAGGAAGCATGTCCCTTGGGGGGGGTGGGTAGGTAGAACAGGGAAAGGCTAGAATTATGGTGGAGGAAAGCAGTCAACCAGGAGGTGGAAGTAGTAGTGTGTCAACGAAACCCTATCAGTAACTGTACTATAAACCACAGTGCTGAGTTTTGTTTTGTTATTTTTAAGTGCCTCTCACAGAGACAGACCAGTGGAAGAAAGGGAAAGGTATGTGGGAGGGAAGGCAGGTGTCATTTATGGAGGGAAGAGGACACTGCTGAATGTATTGGTATTGAAACATTGTATGCCTGAAACACACTCTGAATAACTTTGTAATTCATGGTGGCTAAGTAAATTAAATACAAATAGGTAAAGGTAAAGGTAAAGGCCCTCCCGTTGATCGTCGATTTGCTCGAGCGGGCCCAGTAACGTCTCCATTGGAGACATTGTTGTTACTGTGTCTGGCATATCGAATACTCTCGGTAGCTTGCCGGGCTCTCCGAGAGGGGCGGAGGAATCGAACTCGGGTCGGCCATGTTGGCTGCTTGTAAGGCAAACGCCCTACCCGCTGTGCTATCGCTCCAGCTCTGGTTTCTCTTCAGATCAGATGCTCTGGTTTCTCTTCAGATCAGATCGTATAAATACAAATATATTAAAACAAAAATACTGGATTATTCACTGGATGATAGCATGTAGAACAGCACTGTAGCACTGTTCTCCCGTTATTCATCAATTTGCTTGAGCGGGCCCAGTAACGTCTCCATTGTGAGACTTGTTACTGTGTTTGGCATATCGAATATGTTACAGGTAGCTTGTCAGGCTTTGCTGTGCGGGCAAGATACTCTTGGTAGCTTGCCAGGCTCTCAGAGAGGGGCGGAGGAATCAAACCCAGGTCAGCAGGTTGAGCTGCGTGCAAGGCAAATGCCCTACCCGCTGTGCTATCGCTCCAGCATGTAGAATATTTATACAATATCACCAAGCCATATAATTTTACAAAATTATAGTTTAAAGGGAAGATACACAATACCAATTATTCTACAAATTAATTTAGAAGGAAAAATCCAAAATGATATCCTATCCTATATCCTTTACTACATATGCCAACTCCCTGTTGTAAGAGTAATTGCAAAAGTCTTGAAGATTATATCAAAAGAAATAGAATCAAAGTGTTCATGTCGCGGGGTGTCCTGAAAACAATTAGAGTATCAGTGTCTGGAGAGTTTTGAGGTATCCTGAAGTGGATTCTAAAGTGTGTTGTTCTGGTCTACCTTCTGCTAGATGTGGGTGCTGAGCTGAGTCCTCCTCAGAAAGGCTACTGGGAAGGCTGCCAACCAATTGTTGAATAAATTGAATAGGGCTAAGCTCTGTTTTTACTGGGCCACGTGCACTGATAAATCCCTCGCAGATTAGCCTAGGTGTCTTCTAGTGTTGAAGCATAAGTGCACTGGGAAAGGCCTGGCAGCCCTGTTGCCAGTGGCAAGTCTGGTTGACCTTCCTGACAAAAATGGAAACTGGCCCAAGATCCAGCTTTTCTTTTAGCTCAGGATGCCACAGGGCCACCCTCTGCTTGCTCCAGATACCAGACTTTGCTATGTTAGGTGGATTCCAGGATCTGAGGTGCCACTCATCTCTCTCAGGCATGGTCATCCCTGCACAGGATGTGGATGAGTCAGTGGGCAACTCCGTGCCCTATTGACCTCAGCGGAAGCTGCAGTCCCTACTCCCAAAGCATTGGATCTAGTGGACCGGTTGTGGGCTGTTGCTTGAGCTCTGGATGGGCTTCAGAAGTGCAAGTCCTTGGGTTGGAGAATGCAGGGAGTTAGGAGTTTGCTTGCAGATGGCTGTCTGTAGGGCAATTCTTCCCAGGGAGTGATCCCAAAGCACTGAGCCAGGAGCTAGCCCTGAACACTGCTGAATGTTCCCAGTCCATTTTCAATAATAAAACAAAATACAAGACCTTGAATAATGTCAGTTCCCAATACCTTGCTTAAGTTGGTGCCCTAGTCAGACCATCTAGGGAGAGTCCCA